CATGTATGAGTTTTTCTGAAGAGACCAAACATACTAAAAGATGCCTAGGTGGGGTGGGCCAAAAAATTATTTGGGATTTTTTTTTCCTTTAAAGTACAATCACTGTGGAGCAAAGTGCAACATATTTGTCTATTCTCCAAAGGAACCCCCGGGCCCCCATCTGACCCAGGTCTTTGGGGGCATCACTATCCTTCAGTTAATTCCACCCTAGGCAGTTATGCAATTACTTAAGACGTAGTCTGCCCACGGGAGCCTGAGGAAGAGGATGTACTTTGGAGAATGAACACGGAGTTTGCATTGTTCTTTTCTTCGATTCTATGTTAGGGGAAAACTGACTCTTAGCATTAGCTAGTCTGAATGTGTTACATGAGACTCACATTGGTGTGTAATTAATTGAAGGTTAACATCTGAGGCCTGAACCCTCAGTGTTTTTCTTCAGATCTGTACTTTGGTACAGTATTACTCAGGGGTCTGAAAACGATAGAATGTAGAAGTTATTTGTATTTTAAAAAGTAGTAGCTTTGTCTTTCTCTGTGCAGTGTTAGTTTAAGATTTATAATCTTATATGTATTGAAACTTTTGGCAAAATTTCCACAGGAGTTGAAAGTTTACTATTTAAACTGAACAACAAAAATCAGTAAATGCAGAGCAGGCATTATGTATATTTATGCAGTTTCTTGCTTAAGTTTCATTGCTTTTACCTGTCTTTAAAAATAAAAAGCACACAAAAATGTGGAACAGTGATGAATCTTGTACAAGGAAAACCTGAATCAGTAGTTCAGCCCATTAAACAACTTTGAAGAGTTACCCAACACACCCTCTTTGATTGGAGAGGAGCAGCTGGCACCAGCAAAGCAAATGTTAGGCTTATGTTTGTGGATAGAACTAGTTTTCTTCAGGGACTCAATAAGCTTCCTTTAAATGATAAAATGAGGGGCTGGAGTAACAGTACAGTGGGCTGGACACTTGCCTTGCATGCATCCAGCCAGGGTTCAATTCATAGCACCCACTAGGGTTCCCTGAGCACTGTCAGGTGTGACCCCCAAAATAAGAACAACAACAAAAAAGATCCAATGAATGACAATTAGCTGCCTTATACTCACAATGCAGAAATTGAGCCATAAAAAAAGAACTGGTTTTTACTTAATGGCATCTTCTGAGGAAAAAGGAAGATTCCACTGTCATTCTGATTCATTAAAATGGGCAGGGTGTAGTTTCTTTAGCATTAATAGTAGGAGACAAGTTTGTAAAGATTTCTAGAAAAAATTATGTCCATTGGGAGTTTACTCTTAAATTATTTCATTTCTCACCAACCCATTATACCACTTTATTTTCACCTAAATGTTGCCATTTTTACTTGAATCTATCTTGTGGCCTGGAACTACTGAAAGAGAAACCTATTAAAGCCTGCATTTACTTAGTAGTGTTAAACTGACAGCTTTATTAGCTTGTTATAACGAGTTTACAGCTAGTGAAAAGATGGAATGTACTAATCTGAAAATGGTTTGCAGAACTCTTGGTTTTAATATAGTTACTTATAATATTTTAAATGTATTTTGAAATGAGTAATTCTTTTAAACCCCACGTTTCATTGTCCTTTGGAGAGGATCTCTGCCTTATATGTAATTAAGTACAGTTGACTTTATGGCAAAGAGGTACGTTTTTGAAGCAGGTTGATATAGATATGAATGTATTTCAACTGCTCCTGTTTTGTGGAAAGGGCCTAATGCAGATGTTATCAGAAACCCACTGTTTGTGCAATATTCCAATAATAATTCTATATAGGGCAAATAAAATACTTGAAATGATTCTAAAACAGGTGTACCTGGGCAGATGGCCTCTCAGGGTTTCTTCTGGCTTTATGGCAGCATAGTCTAAAGAATATTTTTTAAAGTAGTTAATTTAAATGCAGGTATTCCATACTAGTCAGGACTATACTCTGGGGGGAAAAAATCTTAAAGGACAATGATCTCTTAAATACTAACTCTGTAGAAGAGCCAGAATAAAGCCAAAAGACCATCACCCTAATGATGGAAAATTCAAATTGAACTCCTGTTCTTTTCAATGCCTATTTTAAGTTTTAGATCTTTAGAGAATGTTAGATCCTATTCCTTTAAGGATGAAAATTGCACAAGCACAGGACACCATGATTTGTTAATACATATGTTGGTGTGTTCAGCTTCAAGCCTTGCCATCCCTTAGAACATTGTGGTATGAATGTGTTCCCTGGGCCTACATTATAATTGACCTATACACCTGTTGAATCTTGCCAGGTATGACAATTCACACAGGTTAATACTGAATGTAAACTAAAATTAGACTGAGAATTGTAATTTTTCTTGCTGTAATTTATGCAATTGCTTTTTGTGATTTTTAGAGATGGGGCATCTATGTTACTTTATTACTGTAAATTTTCTTACCCGAAATTTGGTGAACTTCACTAGTCAGTCTACCTCACATATGTTTATGATTCTATGTTGTCTTAAATTGTGTCAACACTATGATCTTGTCCTTCCTTTCATTTGACAAGTATATTAAAACTCTCCCACTCAAAAAAAAAGGGAAAAGGTGGTTTTCTTTAATTTTCTGATATGTCCAAAATAGAATGAGCTTACCGGCAGTATCTGTGAAAGTGCTAAATATTCACTGGATGAAAACCAATTGCTCAACAAAAATACATACCATGTCTATCTGGAGTTCCATATATTACAGAAATGACTTTTCAAGAGATGTTAGGTATGTTTGTAGTACATCCGCAAATCTTCTGCATATGGGAATTATATTCACTTTTGTATCATCCTTAGATGCATAACATGTGTGATATAGGCCACTAATCTCCAAACTCAAATACCAAACTTTTGTGAGGAAGTAACTTTCAATTAAAAAAAAAAAAAAACAGGAGAGAGAGAGTTGGGGCTGGAGAGATAGCACAGAGGGTAGGGCGTTTGCCTTGCATTCTGCCGACCCGGGTTCAATTCCCAGCATCCCATATGGTCCCCTGAGCACCGCAAGGAGAAACTCCTGAGTGCAGAGCCAGGAGTAATCCTTGTGCATCACCAGGTATGACCCAAAAAGCCAAAAAAAAAAAAAAAAAGAGTTCTATTATGGAACGTATACTCAAGTAATAGTATTTGATACAGAACCACAAAAACACTCTCCTAAGCTAAAGCATCTCACCTTGGGGGGTGGGGGAGGGGGGTAGTAATAAATATTTCTAAGTATAACAAATTCAGAAACAAAAAGTCCCTGTTCTACTCTATATTCCAAGGCCATCAAAGAACAAAAACTGGGGCTCTGACTGCTGTACCTTCATGTTTAACTACCTCAAGTCAAAATAATATACAGGAGAGAAGGAGCAAGCCCTGAAAATCATCAGTGCAGCCCAAGTCCCTGCCTCAGTCTTTCCTTTTTATCTGCCAGAAGGCCATGAGAATATACAGAGTATCTATGTCTACAATCATTAACCTCTGTTAGTAATATAGTGTTGACCCTTTTCTTTCATTCTCAAAACACATTTCACACTTTCTAATGTGCTCTTTTTTTCCCCTTTTGTCCTCCATATGTCATCCAGGTAGTATTCTTTGAGATTCTTAATGATTTAGTCTCTCTCTCCTCATTTATAAACCTCAGAGTGATCGCCTCTAAATCATCACATAACCAAACTCATGTTTTCTTAGTTGAAATTTTTCACAAACTCAATATTCACATGACCAATCAGGCAAACAGCTATCTCCACTTGGAAATTTTATAAGCACCTTAAATCTTGACCAAAAATGGGGCGAGGGAGATAGTACAGCAGATAAGGCACTTGCCAAAATCTGAGTGCATCCCTTCCCATCCAGTCCTTCCAATTCTACAACATTCACTTTTCAGTTTGTCTACTCAATCATCCAAATCGAAACTCCCCAAACCTTAGAATCTTTGCTGTGATCCTTTTTAAGTCACCACAAATTCATATCACGCCTTCAATTGCATCTTCTCAAAGATTATCTATTTGATCTTCATCCCAACATTACTGCTTCAGTTCAGTGTTTCAACATTTTCTACAATACTTTACCACATTCTCGTCTTCTAAGATCTAGGTTCCACACATGTATACTCCATTTCATAGGGTTGTCATAATAAAAAACAGCAGTAAACACACAGCATGACGCATACTATTTTTTGTTGTTTTTGGTCATACACCCTGCAATGCTCAGCTTACTCCTGGTTCTGTGCTCACAGGCCATTTCTGGCAGGCTTTGGGAAATTGTAGGGAATTTCCCAAAACTGCTGGGGATCAAATCTACATCTGCCTTGTGCAAGGCAAGTGCCCTACCTTCTGTGTTATCACTTCACCCCCAACAAGAATATTCTTAAGGAAATACCCTGATTGTAAAATTATTTGAGGAGCTGTATCTTCTACATAAATGTGAACATAAACTGTTTCCAAGTAGTAAATATTGTCTCTTATCCCCAATTCCTTTTTTAAAAGCACTGAAATTTGTTCCCCAATGAAATATAAAATTTAAGTAATTTTTATAAATTAAAAAAAATTATATAAATTTACATAAAATTGAACCTGGATTATGAGTATATATGTATATATTGGAGTATCCATATCATACCTGAAATCCTATTCCCATTTTTAAAAAATGATCCCTGTGAAGCAAATTGAGACTAGGAAAGAGTTAAAGAAGTTAAAGATTCAAGATCCTTAAGCCACTCTTGAAAGCATACATTATTAATATGAGAGAAAACATAAGCCAATCTGTTAAAATCTTAAATTTAAAGCTCTAAATTTTAGCCAGTTTTTAATGAAATAAAGATTACCTCATAAAAATAATCTATATTTAGTCATGAGTGTTTCTCATTCTTGAGCTGTGGCACTTCCTAGTCCAGGAAAGTGTGATGTTAGGATCTGCCTTCTGAAGATAAACAGAAGTTATTGCTTTCACACTGATCCTTTTGGCAAACTAGTGAAAACTACCTTTAAGAAGCCAATGTTGTAACGCATTTTAAGGTACTGAACCCAAGAAACATTGGAAAAGCACAAATAACACATTATCACATTTATCACTTTTTTAAAAGCTATCAATTATTTTATTATTTTATTCTACATTATATACATATCATAAAAGGCCACAGCAGTTTTTCAACATATAAACCCTTTAAAAGTAGAGGGCACTATGAAGGATAGACAAGTATCAAAATGAAGTTCCGTAACAAGGGTATATACTCAGTGTAGTATTTCTGAGCAATAACAACGCAGATACCAAGTTATTCAGGTTTAGCTGTGACTATTCCATATGTTTATAAACCTCTTTGGGATTAATAAATAGCCTAAGTGTGCCAAAGTTGCCATTTAAAAAAAAAAATGACACTAAAATAATAAACTTCAAGGGATACTTAACACTAGCTCTCCATTAGTAGGTCCCTAAAAAAAGAGATGAAAGAAAAAAATCAATACCCAAATTCTTCATGTACCCGGGGTGGTGCTTTATTTGGGGGGGAGGGTGGTAGGGAGGTTTGGGGGCCACACCTAGCAATGCTCAGGAGTTACTCCTGGCTCTGCACCCAGGAATCAATCCTGACGGTACTCGGTGGGATGCCGGGGATTGAACCCAGGGTGGCCATGTGCAAGGCAAACACCCTACCTGCTGTACTATCTCTCTGGTCCCTGGAACTCTGCTTTTTTTTTTAAAGGGTCATCATCAAAGTATCTTTCAGAGTCTCTTCTTAAATAATAACAAAAACACTGGTTTCTGCTCTGTGAAAATACATCTTTAAAACTAACTGGTATCAGCAGATTCATATAAAAAAATACAGTACACCAAGCTACACTGGTATATTTCCATATTAAGAACTTCAAAATATACTTATCAACTGAGACCATAGTCCTTGCATTAGTTTTCAGTCCACTATGAACAATTATCCGCTGCATGTAAACATGTCTAAATAAGTATAGATAAAATACATCAATCATAAATTTCTGTAAAAGATAATAAAATATCTTCTTTAAAAAACAAAACAATAAGCTATTACTGCATTGTTTCCAATTTATGAAAATGGAACAACCTTATGGCTGTTGCCAATCCTGAGTTCATTATAATAAAAATGGCCCTAGTTCCTGGTTAAAGTCAGCAACCAATCCCATTTCTCTCATTTCTCTTCAGTAGATCTTCTAGTACTGTAGGCAAGAATCTGTTTTAGGTATTATTTTGTCCATTAATAAAATTATATACCAAAAACTGACCAGTGCCACAGTACTGTGTTGCAAACAGTTTTCCATCAGGCGTGGGATCTGAGAAAGCAATTTCTTCTTTACTCAAGTATGAGCCGTATATAAAATTGCTCCTGTTTAAAAGAAAACAAACAGTATTTTTAATCATTAAAACTGGAAAAACCTGTCAAATACAGTTTGACTAGAAGGGTATTTTTGATATATTGCTCTAAATCATTGAAAATAACTGTTCATATAAAATAATAGTAATTTGAGGCCAAAATAGCAACAGCAGTTTAACGTTTACTCCACTCTTTTCAACATCCATCAAGAACTAGAGATGGTATAGGAGTTAAGTCACTTGCCCTACATGCAAGTGACCCCATTTGGAGCCCTGGTACCACATATGGTCCCCTGAGCACTACCAGCAAAGAGCCAGGAGTAAGCCCTAAGTACCGCCAGTGTGGCCTCCATACCAACCACAAGAAAGCCCTGAGTATCACCAGTGTGGGCCCCACACCACCCAGCAAATACTCATCAACTCCAAGTAGAAGGAACTTACTCAGCCTAGTAAGAGTAATGGTGAGTATCAAAGTCAATAGTAAAAGATTAAAACTGTTCCCATAAAAATAAATAAAAATAATAATAAAATATATCACACAAATCACAAATCATCCTGTTAATCGTCGATTGCCTCGAGCAGGCCCCAGTAACGTCTCCTTCATCCTAGCCCTGAGATTATATTCAAGGCTCTTTAGAAGAATGAGACCCATCATTGTTACTGGTATTTGGCATATTGGGTACAACACAAGGAGTTTGCCAGACTCTGCCGAATAATAAAAAAAATAATAATAATAATAATAATAAAATTAAAAAAAATAAAACTACTCCCATGCATTAGGAACAAGGTAAGGTTATTTACTTTTATCTCTTCTAGTCAACCATCTAATCTGTTCATGAAGTTAGCATATTTCAGTGAAAACTTTTCAAGAGTTGAGAATATATAGTCAGGGTTTAAATATCTATCCTTGGTAGCTACTATGCACATTTTACATGCAAGAGGGCAGATCCTGCATGGCCCCCAAGCAACACCAGAACCCCTAAGCACTGAGCTTAGTATTGAACCTGAGCAGGGCTGGGTGTGATCCAAAGAAACAGAAGAAAGTTTTGTCCTTCAAAGGACATCAAGAAGATGAAAAGACTCCCATGAAATGACAGAAAAAACCTTGCAGATCATGCATTTATAGTTGATAGGAAATTTACCTCTAGAAAATATATACTATATGTTATACGCCCACATTTTCTATGATTCATTATTTGTAAATGACACAAACTGGTCATAACAGGTCTAGTTAACATCTGTCACTATACATATATATTTTTTCTTCTTTCCTTTTTGGTTTTGGGCCACACCCTGCAGTGCTGGAGGGTGAGGTACTGTGGGGAACCTGTGGCGCCAGACTCAGCTTGGCCTCCTGCACGCAGTTCACCTTTCCAACTCCTTCACACATTCTGCCAACTCACCTCCTGCTTTCACTGATAACTACTATCCTCTGTATCTCTGAGCATGTGTGGTTATTTTGTTTGTTCTTTTGTTTTTGAGCTTGGCTGGTTGTTTCTTTCGGCCTTTTTGTTTTGTGCTCAGGAATCATACCACATGGGGGCCCAGCAATCAAACCCAAGTTGGCAGCATGCAAGGCAAGCACCCTACCCACTATACTAGCTCCTCTCTGGTACCTGAGCTTATTTTTTATAAGTTGTTTTTGGATTCCACTTAAAGTTTTTTCTCATTTGACTCACTGTATTTAGTATAATATCAAGTTTCAGTCATGTGAAAAGTGGCAAGATTTCATTCCTTTTTGTGGCTTAACACATATATACTGTTGTATATACTTTTGTTTTTGGAATGCACTGGCAGTGCTCAGGGCTTACACTGACTGTGCAAATGGATCCAACCTATGTTAGCTGCATGAAATCAAGTGCCCTAACTGCTGTTTTATCTCTCCTCCACTACAATAGTTTTCCTTCTCCATTAATCCATCAATGGATATAAATATCAAAACTCAACCAGAAAGTGATAAATAAACCAAGTTAAAAATGGCCATGGGAGCACCAGAGCAATATTGCAGCGGGCAGGACAACTTGCTTGCACACCATAAACCTGGGCTCAATTCCTGATGCCACATATGATCCCTCAAGCCCTGCCAGGAGTCATCCCTTAGTGCAGTCAGGAGTACACCCTGGGCACAGAGACTGTCACCCCACCAAACCCTAAAAAATAAATAAAAATGGACACAGTGGCCAGGAAGAGGCTCAAAAAATTGGAGAACATGGCTTGCATCCAGGATACCTGGTACCAGGTGGGACCTCAGCACTGACAGATGCGGCCCTCCACATTAAATAAATGGACATAGGCAGCCAAAGAAATACCTCAAAGGGCTGGAGTCCATATGCATGTTTCACCAAAAAGGCCCTGGTGGCCACACCATCACCAGGCCAAGCAGCACCACTGGGCCCGAGGAGGACGCCATTGAGCAGGCCCATGCAGCCAGGTCAACTATCACTGAGAATAAATCCCAGATCCTCAAAGCAGTTGGGGAGCCCCTCCCCACTCCACCAAAGAAACAAAAAATGTGCACAGGCATTTCCTAAAGATGACTTTTTAAAAGCCAATAAGCACATTAAAAGAGTCCATCTTTAGGAATTAGGGAAATGTAAATCAAATCCACAATGACATACCACTTCATATTTACTAGGATAGTAAATATGAAAAGACAAGTGTTGGAGAAATGTAGAAAACTAAAACTTTCCCTAATATGTTCCTTACGGACTATAATACAGAACAGCCTCTTAGACAAAACATCTTGCAGTCCCTCAACATATTGTAGTGAACAGTTAACACATGGTTCAATAATTCTACTCCTAGATATATGCCAAGAGAATAAAAATATTTAAGTATTTAATTACCAAAAGGAATATCCTAAAAATTTGTACATGAACATTCACAACATTATTGTTCATAATTGCAAAAAAGCAAAACAACCCAAATGTTTTTCATATGAAGAATAGACAAAATGTGACATATTCCTATTGCTCAATGTTATCTGACAGATTCCGAGTGGGGATGTAGCTAGGTGGAAGTTTAAATGGTTTTCATGGCTGAGGTTCTAAATTAGCAACTCTGTAACAAAAGAACAATTTTTTAAATTAATGAGTTTAAGAAAAGGGGGGGGCAGGTAGAGTGCTTGCCTTGCACACATCCCAGCTGGGTCCAATTCCCAGCACCACATATGGCTCCTGGCCTCCTGCCAGGAGTCAGCCCTAAGCACAGAGTCATATCAAGTGTAGCCCCAAAACCAAAAAAGGAAAAAAAAAAACTGTTTAAAGAAAACGAAGCAGGGAGATAGCACAGGTTAGGACACACAAGAGGCTTATATCTGACAGGATTTGATTCTCAGCACCAGAGTTCCCCCAAGAGCGATTGGGTACAGAGGAAGCCCAACATCAATGGGTCCCCCAGCAATGCTAGAAGTGGCATGGATATCCCAGGCACCACAGGTCTGAGTAGCACTGCATCCAATGAAGGATAGAGCCCCTGCACTGAACCAATGGCGTAGCTTTATTTATTATTTTTTTTGGGGGGCTTTTTTAGGTCACACCGGCAATGAACAGGGTTTACTCCTGGCTCATGCACTCAGGAATTACTCCCGGTGGTGCTCGGGGGACCAAATGGGATTGCTGGGAATTGAACCCAGGTCGGCTGCGTGCAAGGCAAACACCCTACCCGCTGTGCTATCGCTCCAGCCCCCAGAATTTTAACCTATACAGCAGACAGGATTGGGTGCCAGAGAACTGAACTGGGCAAGCCACACACAGAAGGCAAACGACCTACATACTGTACTATTATTCCAGCCCCAAGATAATTTTTATTGAATGAAACTTGCTTAGAAAAAATGTGAGAGGGTGGCAAAATGACATTACAGCAGGTAAGGTGTTTGCCCTGCACATGGCCAACCTGAGTTTGATACCCTCACCCCATATAGTCCCCATGAGCGCAAAGCTGGGAATAAGCCCTGAGCAGTCAGGTATGGCCCAAAAAAAAAAAAAAGATGTGAGAGGAGGGGCTAGAGAGATAGTACAGCAGGTATGGTACTTGCTTTGCAATCAGCCAACCCAAGTTCAACACCAGTATTCCATATGGTACTGAGCAGTGCGAGGAGTGATCCCTGAGGAGAGCCAAGAATAAGTCCTGACCGCTGGGGGTGGCCCAAACACCACCTCCCACCAAAAAAAAAAAAAAAAAAAAAAAAAAAGTGGAGAGAAAAAGTGTTCAAAGATACACAGAGATAAGCAAACAAATAGTTCAAGGGAGAAGGTGGGCTTGAAGTGGAAACCCATTTGAGTTTAAAAGACAGGTGGAGAGTGGGGCATTCCTGTCTGTGACGCCGTGGGTTGAACCTGGACTTCCTGCTTGCAAAGCATGAGCCCCTGTCCTCTGAGCTATCATTCTGGCTCTGAAAGCTCCTTTTCATTCTGAAATTCTGCTTAAATTCTAAACTACTGGAAGCTATTTGAAGAATAATATTTTAGTTACCTTAGGCATTCAATCATTCGAGAAGCAATTTTCTTGCGTCGCATCATGCTGAATACCCATATACGGCTGATACCACAGATTGCAGGTTCTGGCAATGTTGAGCAGCACCAGGCCTTTTGCCTTTCAAATCTGACTTTTTCTTCTTCTGATCTTATAACTGGAAGTTTCTCTTCTATGACTCTGTAGCCCTACAAATATCAGAATAAGGAAGGGTATGGTTAAACTGAGAACATTAACTAGTAATTGTCTAGACAAGTCAAGGCAATCAAAGAACTGAGTAGTGAGGATCAACAACTTTTATAGAGGGCCAGATAATCAGTATTTTCAGGAATCAGAGAGACAGTAGAAAGGTTAGGGAGCTGGCCTTACCTGCAGCTGACCCAAGTTTAATCCCCAGAACCCCATCTGGTCCCCTGACCCATTAGGAGTGATTCCTGAGGGCAAATCCAGGAGTAACCCCTGAGCACTGCCCAGAAAAAAAAACACAACACACACACACACACATACACACACACACATATTGTATTTTAGGTTCTGCAGTCTATTTGGTCCCTCTTTCATCTACTCAGTTCAGTTCTTGGTAGTGTGTATGGAAACAGCCATAAATAATATAGAAATAAGTGGCCATGAATGTTATAATAAAGTCCTATTTACAAAAAGAGTCTGGATTTTTTTCACACAGCGTTATAGTTTACCAAGCTTGATTTATTCCAGTGCTGAAGGAATAATTGTATTAGCATCCAATGGAAACTTCCTAAATAAAATGTAATGGTTCTTTTGATAAAACTAATTCCCAAGCAAGATACCTCTATACTTAATAAAAAACTGCACATGGGAATTCATTCACACTTTCCTCTAACATAAAATGTTGATATATTTATCAGGATTATGCTACAGAATATGGAGCAAACTTTTAAAGACGCTTAAAAAAAAAATCACTTACCCACTGGATATGTTCCGCAATTAGACAGCCAACTACTTTTTTGTCATTAGAAATAAAGAGAAGTGTTTTAGTTCTAGAATAGCACATTAGTGGAGCCTGTTGGAAACCTAAATCATTATCAACCATCTCTCTAATTTCGTCGACCTGCCAAATAAATAACATTCTTTTTAACAATGAAAACAAACATTATATATACATTAAAAAATATGCTATTTCAGTTAAGTAAATTGAATTCATTAGAACTACTATACTGAAAACTGTTTTAAAAACCCTGATCACCAATATGCAAAATGAAGGAAAGCCTGGAAGGTTATGCCAAACAGCCTAGAGAAAAATGTAATTCAGAGCTCTTAGTTTTAATAAGAATGCTAAGAGGCATCTTGGATTTGAGAACTGACAGAAATTCACTGGAAACTTAAGTCACTTTCCTTCCTGAGACTTAATCAGCATTCCTTCAGTAAAATGGAAATGGGCACAGAAGAAAAAAATATGTATCTCTCTCTTCTGTTTTTCAGAGGATGGAGGGCATCCATGGTTCAATGCCACGAATGAAAGCAGGGCCTCCTGCATGCAAAGCAGGTACATTAGTATGTTGAACTCTCTCCATTCCAGAAAATATACATATCATTAACAATTTATAGGCCAGGCATTATGCAAAGCACTTCACAAATATTATCTGACTAAAATTCAGCCATCTCTCAGAGGTCAACAATCCTCACTTTACATTAAAAAATAAAAATAAAAACCCTCAGAAATTAAAAAACTTACTCATGTCCAACAATGGACATCTAGGTACTGGAGAAATAAAACAGCGGGTAGAGCGCTTGCCTTGCACATGGATTACCCAGGTTCAATCCTCAGCACCCTAAACCAATCCCCAAGCCTGCCAGGAGTCATCCCTGTGCACAGCCAGGAGTAAGCCCTGGGTATTGTCATCTATGGCCCACCCCCAAAAAGGACATCTAGAAAATCATGGAGAAAAGTTTCAAGTCATAATGTAAACAAAGTATTAGCTGCTTCTAGTTTACCTTCTAGGTCAAGGATCAAGTAAGCTTAAGCTTTAGTAGGCATCCAAGTACTAGTTCCTCTTGCAGTTAAAAAAAATAATTTGTAGGAGGCTGGAGCAGTAGTACAGAGTACGGTGTTTGCCATGCATATGGCCCACTTGGGTTCCATCCTCAGTATCCCACAAGGCTCCCAAGCAACACCAGGAAAAATTCCTGAGTACAAAGTCAGGAGTAACCAACCTCTGAGCAATGCCAGATGTGACCCGAGCCAAAACCACAAAAAAACAAAAATAATAATTTGTAGGGGCTCAAGTAGCATCTCATATGGTCACCTGAGCACCAGCAAATATAATTCCTGAATGCAGAGCCAGGAGTAACCCTTGAGCATTGCTGGGTGTGGCCCAAAAACAACCAAAAATAAATTGTAGGGACCATAGAGCACAGCAGTAAGGCACTGGCCTTTCATATGACCATCAGCATGTGATCCCAGGCACAGTCAGGATTAAGACCTGAGCACTGCTGTGTGACCCAAGAAGAAAGAGTAACAACAAAATATTTTTGTATTATTCAGTTCGATAAATATTCATTTAAGTGCAAATAATTCCTATGGGTTAGGTATTCATACCTCAGACAAGCAGAATAGCAGAATACCATATTAAATATCTCTTATACAGTGATCAAACTCAAGTCCTCCTAATTCTGGAATAGGAGAAACCCATAATACAACTCCAGATCTAGTTCCTAAAGCAAATGATTCATAACTCTATAATTATCTAGTTTATTATTTTGCAGAGGTTGGGACTGAAACTCAGACAAGAAAGAAATATTCTTTTCTCTACCATTAAGCTCTCTCTCTAGCCCTCAATCTCAAGTTTTAACATACAGAAAGTTACTAGCTAATGGCACAATGACTAGCAAGTTATTAAGATTCTGACCTGTGAAACTAAAGAAATGAACATTTACTGAGTAATCGGTGTAAGAGAAGTGTAGATGCCACATGTTTGTATAGCAACTCCTCCCCACCTCCCCCACCCATGTATTTCCAAATAACAATAGCTGGTATTCCAAAAAAATCCACAAATTACATTTATGCAACCAGTAATTCAACATTTACTCAACAAAGATTTGTCTTTACACAAGCATCACTGCTTCAAATACAAAACAGGTGGGACATCTGCCATTCTGCTACTTTTTATATTGCTATGCAGTGGTGGTTATGGTGGCTTATTTGGGTATTTGGGATTGGGCATCATACATTTGGGCATCATACATGCAAAGTATTTAAAAAGTCAGAAACGACAGAATAAACTTTTAAAGTAGAATGTTAACATTATTTTATCAAAAAACAGATTCTAAGCGTCTCCCTTCACCCTTCTTTACAAATAAAATATTCCTAATTTTAAATTAGTCCAATAGTTAATCTTGTTCGTCGATTTGCTCGAGCGGGCCCAGTAACGTCTCCATTGGAGACTTTGTTGTTACTGTGTTTGGCATATCAAATACTTCACAGGGAGCTTGCCAGGCTCTGCCGTGCGGGCGAGATACTCTCGGTAGCTTGCAGGACTCCCCGAGAGGAGTGGAGGAATCGAACTCGGGTCAGCCATGTTGGCTGCGTGCAAGGCAAACGCCCTACCGCTGTGCTATCGCTCCAGCCCATAGTTAATCTTAAAGAAGTACTATCAGAGGTAGATAGTACAGGGCTAAGGGACAACCCCTGTTCAATCCAAGACTGCAAATTTTCCCCAAGCACCACCAGGAGTGACACCCCTAAGCAGAGTCAGAAGAAATACTTAAGCACTGCTGGGTGTGACTAAATAAGTAAATCACTGAATAAGTAAATCTCCTGGTTTAGATGTTTCGACACTTAATAGTATGAGTGTAACGTCACTGAATTCACAGCTTTATATTTTAAGATACATCTAAAAAAGCATCTGGAAGTTGAAAAAACATATTAGTATACCATTTGAAAATGGAGTAACATTACTGTAAAACCTATTTATCCTAAGGTTCCTGGAGCTATGGAGGAACCCTGCAGTGCAGGGATAGAACTTGGGTCTCTGGCCTCTCACCCTATAAGCTATCTCCCCAGCCCCCGCAATTAGCTTTCATTTAAAAATTTAACTTTGGACTAATATTGTACATGTATTAATTTTAATTTTCTAAACTACTTTCATTCTAAACCCTGAAATCAGATGGCTTTATTCATTAATCTAATATACTACTACAAATTACTAATAATACTGGACAGTATCAATTCACTAAAAATTAATTTTATATATATATGAGACAAGACAATGTTTAAAGTATACATTTTTTGTTAATTCTTGTTTTCAGAATTGGTATCTAAATATGCCATGCCAGCATAAACTTTTCCCCTTAAAATTAGCCACAAAATTAAGTTATCCTAAAAATTTACCTTTTTCAAAGCATACTTTGGGTCTTCAGGAAGGACCATTATTATCCTGCCATCTGGGTATTCAGCCAGAATTCTTTCTTTTTTCCAGCCCTAGATATTAAAAAATGTAAATTTTATGCCTCTGTTATATTTTACTATGTTAATATACAATGAAATACGCAAACATGGAAAAATATATGCTCATTAATGTTGAAATAGAAAGACATGATAAATCAGCTATTTTTAAAGCATACAATGTAAGAAAATTTCTAATATCTTTTAAAGATTAAATACCACAAAAATATTACTAATTTACCATTTCCCATTTTAAATTACTAATGAAAATCAAACACCAAAAGCAAGCCCATTAAGTCACTAATTCCCCGAACCTAAAGGAAAATTTTCCCAGTTCCTTGATAAAATAATTAAGCTCTTAAATTTATTTTGCACATGGTTACCTCCACAAACAAACACTCAAGATTTTATGTCTGGCATGCCAAAGACCTCCAGGAGGTTTTAAATGAACTGATTTGCATGCAGTGGCCCATTATGTAAGGAATCGTTTTTATTCTTATTGATCACATCTATCAAAGTTACAAGAAGGAGACTATAAAAATATAACTACCTTCTAAGAATCTAATAGGGAAGGAGAGGCTACGTTGTGTGTATCTGAAGTTAAACATACTCAAAAAAAGAGGTAATAAAATCTTCTTCAGATCCACACTCGTGGTGATTAATGAGCAGAACCTGCATGAAAAAAAACAAAACAAAACAAAAGCCACTTAAATCTAGTAAGATGGGACTGAACCAGAGGTTAAAACTCTAGGAGCTTTGAAGTTAAAAATATTTACAGAAGAATGAGTTTAACTGGTTGTTTCATTTGTTTTAACCCAACCAACTTTACAGGGAGAAAAAAAAAAAGTCTCTCAAGAATCAGTATGTACTTCTAGTAGAGAAAACCAATCTATTTTGGAGATGTTTCTTTAGTATCAATGAAAGTTCAATGAAAACAAACAAAAAAAGGTGACTTTTTTAAAATGTCTGAAATAAGAGGGAGTGATATTCTTAAACAATCCAGACTGAATTCTTGGGGCAAGGGGCAGGATGTTAGCATGGAATAAGAAAATTCTATTAGCATGCTTGGTATATCCATGTGGATTAAAATATTTTAAATTAGAGTCTGTTTAAAAAATAAAGCATTCAAAAGGTAAAAGTAAAATTCAGGTGGTTATAATGTGGACTTGCAATGTGTTGTCAAGACTAGAAAAGGAGCAGAAACAGTCATACAAATCATACACTAGAAACTAAATCTGAATTATGTCCAGATCTAAACAGACTTTTTTTTTGAGCTTTTTGGGGTCACATCCAGTGGTGCTCAGGGGTTACTCCTGGCTCTGTATTCAAGAATTATGCCTGGCAGTGCTCTGGGAACCACATGGGAAACAGGGATCAAATGCGTGCAAGGCAAACACCCTACCCACTGTATTACTGCTCTGGCCCCATAGGTACTAAAAGGCTTGAAAGATATAATCTCTTTTTTTTCCTAATTGTATTTTTATGTTGCTTGGAAGATAAATTCATTTTCGCAGTATGAAAAGATTTTCTTTTTAAAATCAAACTATAAATTCAATGACAAACTAAAATAAGTAGCCCACAAGGAGTCAGGTAATACAAGGCACATGACCAAGGCAATCCCCAGTTCGATCCCTGGTGCCCCATCTGGTCCCCCAGCATCACCAGGAGTGATTCCTGAGCACAGCTGAGTATGAGCCAAAAAACAAAAAAACAAAGATACTGGTATAATGCTATTTTATATCACATCAATAGGCACAGGACAAATTATTTTAGTTTCTAAATTTTTGGTATAAAACATTCCCTTGAAACTTGCTTATTTAAGCAGAATCATTTTAAGTAGTTGAATTTGAAATAATTTCAGGTTTTAAATCTATCTAAACAGTAGTAACTGAAAAGGGCAGTGTTATTATTGTTTAATTGTGGGGGAGAGGCCACACTCGGCAGTGCTCAAGGCTTACTCCTGGCTTTACGCTCACAGGACAATCCTGTGCCATATACAGTGCCAGGGAATAAATCACCTCACCTCCTTTATATCTATCCATCCCCTTAGCTTAAGTTTCTGTTCATAAAGTAGCAGATTTCAGTGAAAACTTTTCAAGAGGTCTCAAGTAAAAATCCATGTTTTAAATACCTATCCTTGGTAGTTACTTGTGTCTTGGACAAAGCATTTGTTTTTCAGATTTATGCCACTAACACTACATCACTTTGTAGTTTAAAAATAATTTATGAAGCCAGAGCAATATAAAATAAATTTGATAAATACCTACCAAGGGGGCAGGCTGGAGAGTGGGAAAAAGCCTGGGAATATTGGTGGAGATAGAGACATTGGTGGTGTGATTGGTGTTAGAACATTGTATGCCTGAAATAATTCTATATGAACAACTTCGTGAATCAGTGCCTTCATAAAAACTGTAAGAAACAAAAAAGCGAGGAATTCTTGTCTCATGGACTTTGATTCTCTAAGAATGAACAGTACCTTAAAGTTTTAAAATTTGCTGTAGTCCTGAAACAGAAATAGCTAACAAACATCTAATATTTTAAAAATGAGCCTAGAAAAAAGTTATTCCATATTTTCATAGATTTAAAAAAATAAATAAAGGGACTCAGGGAGACAGTTTTGGGGACAGAGTCATATTCTGTGCATGTTCAAGAACCCAAGTTTGATCTTTGACCTGTGAAAGCCAAGTATAGGCCTAGAAGCCCAGGAGCACTGCTAGGCATGGGCTTGAGGGCCCCAGCACTACTGAGCATGAGTAACATCTTACTGCCTGGCCTTCACATTGAATTATCTTGCCAGTTGGCTGAGTATCACTTGGAATGGTCTCTGGGTGCTTAAGCACTGTTTATGAGCACTGCCCCACGCCCAAAGTAATTCAAGTGTAAAAAGGTTAAACAGATTAGAAGGTCATGAAACAGGACCAGAGAGATAGTACAGTGGTTAAGAATACTTGTCTCACACACAGCCAACTTGGGTTTGATCCCTAACACCACATATGGTCCACCCAGCCCAGAGAGGAGTAAATCCTTAGCACTGATGGTCCCAAAACAAAATAAATAAATAGATCATAAAACTAGTAATTCACTAAAAAAAGTCAAAATTCTAGACTAAACTCACATTCTTTTATATTATACAACCTCAACAACTTTATAAATCTAAGAACCTTACATAAATAGCAAAAAATGTCTATAAGATGAAATAATACATTATACCTATGCCTAAAAGGAAATCTTCCTTGAGTCAAACTAAGCTTTCTTACACTTCCATGTTTCTGAGTCCAGAGCTTGTCTTATAATCAGCATGTATATTTAATGTGTTTTTTGGTTCTCAAAAATGCATTTAGAGTGCATGTCTTGCATATGCTGAAGCCCTGAGTTTGATCTCAGTCCCTCAAAAACAAAAGCAAGTAGTTATCAAACCCTACAATCACCACCAAAAAAAAAAAGACAAGGGGACAGATCAGAAGTATAGCGGGTACGGTATCTGCTTTGCAAATGAGACAAATAGGTGCCGGGGCAATACTACTTCTGGGTAGGGACCTTGTCTTGCACACAGCTGACTCCAGCTCAACCCCCAGTATCCCATACGGTCTCCTAAACCCTACCAGGAGTGAACCTGAGCTCAGAGCCTGGAGTAAGCCTGTGAATCACCAGGTGTGGCCCCAAAAGAAAACACTGTCACTGTCCTCCCCTTGTTCATCGATTTTCTCAAGCGGGCCCAGTGACGTCTCCATTGTGAAACTTTGTTGTTAAGTGTTTGGTATACCAAATACGTCATGGGTAGCATGCCAGGCTTTGCCGTGAGGGCAAGAGACTCTCCTCTGACAGGGGCGGAAGAATCGAACTCGGGTCGGCCACGTTGGCTGCCTGCAAGGCAAATGCCCTACCCACTGTGCTCCAGCCCAAAAAGAAAACAAAAGAAAGTTTTAGGGGCTTGCCTAAAAGTGGAAAAGATAGTACAGCAGGTAGGATACTTTACACAATCCTGACCAGGTTTGATTCCCAGCACTCCCTATAATACCCTGAGTCCTTCTTAAGAGCAGAGCCAAAAGTAACTCTTAGCATGCTAGGTGTGGTCCCTTCCCAAAAAATGTGGATTTAGACAGAAACCTTACATTTAGACATAATACACAAAGCTATAAAAATTCACAGGAAGATAACATAAAAAAAATTCCAGATGACAATGGGTAACTTTAGGTATATCACCAAACATACAATCATCAAAGAATTTACAAACCAGACTTCAACAAAATTAGAATCAAATCTTCTTCACAAGATATTATCAAGAGGAAAGAAGACCAGCCACAGATTGGGAAACAATATTTACAAATAAACAACCTAATAAAAAACACAAAGTTTATTGAGGCCTGCGATGCATGTAGCTGAAACCCAGCATTGTACAGCGAGCATCATGCAGGTTCCAGAGCAGCTGCTCCTGGAACCACTGTGTGGCCTTTCCGACACCCAAAAAAGACTAGAAAAGGCAGGAGGCTGGAGCACATGCTTGGCCAATGAGGCCGGGTTAGATTCCTGGCACTGCATAGCTCCCTGCAAGTACTTCAGCAACCCCTAAGCAGTCTGCCATGAACAGCCCTTAATAATCTTCAAGTGTGGCCCAAAACAAACAAAAACATACAAAGTCTTAGAAATCAACAGTTTGGGGACAGAGAAATAGAAGAGTGAGTAAGTAGGGCATTTGTCTTTGCATGCGGCCAATGCAGGTTCCATCCCTGACACCCCCGAAGGTCCTCCAAGCACCACCAGGAGTAATTCCTGAGAACAAAGCAAGGAGGAACCCCTGAGTAATGTTGGTCATGGCAACGATCTACCCCTCCAAAAAAATCAATGATTAAAAAGTTTGAAAGTTTTCAGGGAACAAAATGATAGTACAACAGTGGCGCATTTTCCTTATACACAGCTGTCTAGAGTTCAATCCCCAGCACCCCATACGGTCCCGGGGTCCAACCAGAGTGATCCCTGAGCAAAGAGCCAGGAATAAGCCCTGAGAACCACCAGGTGGAGCCCAAAAATCAAAATATAAATAAATTTTAAAAAAGAAAAAAACTGGACTCAGAAATAAATTCTTAGAGAGCAACACGAGCAACACGCATCCAGACGCCACAACAGGCTGTCTCACCCGGAGCAACCTGACCAGATAGAGCCCTGGCAGCCAAAAACCTCCAGAACTCAATCGCCGTCATGCTCATGGTTGAACTCCAAAGACTCAGACGAGCCTCATCCCTGAGTGAATCTGCTGAAAAATCCAGGTATGCGGGACTTGCAACTGAAATCTCCAGGCTTGCACGGAGTTGGGAATGGGCAGCCTCCCCCGGTATCTCTGTGCTTCCGACATCTCATACTCTACACCACTGATATACCTTTCCTCTAAGGAAACTTTATGGATCATATTTAGCGGATTATTCATAACAAGCAATACAAAATAAATTATTTAGATCCCACTTGGGGGCAGGACTTGGGGGTCTAGGTGGAAACATTCAAAATGTGGAGGGGGAAGGTGTAATGGTGGTGGGATCGGTGTTGGAATATTAAACGAATTATTGTGAACAACTTTATAAAAATATTTTTTAAAAGTTAATAAAACAAGAAAATCAAAATTCCAATAGCAAAAATGAAAAGGAAAGAGAGAGAGAGAGACTGAGAGAGGGAGGGAGGGAGGGAGGGAGGGAGGGAAGGAGGGAGGGAGGGAGGGAGGAAGAGAGAGGGAGAGGGAGGGGAAGGGAGGGAAAGAAAAAAAGGAGAAAGGAAGGGAAAGGAAGGAAGGAAGGAAGGAAGGAGAGAAGTAAAGGAAGGGAGAGAAAGAGAGAGAAATAAAGAGAGAAAGAGAGAAAGAGAAAGAATAAGCCAGACTGGCTTTCTGCGCTGCGAGAGTGAGAGCAAGAGCGGGAGCAAAAGCAAGAAGAAACCCAATGAAAAAAAGATCAAAGACCTGGACGTTTTATCAAAGTAGATATACTAATGGCAAATAAGAAAGTGAAAAGTCACTCTATATCATATGAGGGACATGTAAATTAAAACAAGATGCTACTAACAGAATGACCGAAACCAGAACACTGACTATACCAAATGCTGGCAAAGATGCAGAGCAACAGAAAAATCCGTGTGATAGAAGGGCTAGAAGCATTATTTTCACAGATAGTAAAAAATTAGGGGTCAGAAAGCTAGCTAAAAAATGCTTTATGTGAAGATTTAGATCTGGAAAATATTGATATTTATGTCTAAAATATATATTACATATATCATAAAATACAAACTTAAGAAAAACACTGGTATGCAGTGTTCTATAATAATTCATTGCATCACTTAGGGGCTTTTTTGTTTTTATTTTTATTTTGGGGGCGACATCCAGCAATGCTCAGGGGTTGCTCCTGGCTCTGTATTCAGCAACCACTCCTGGCAGTGCTCAAAGAACCCTATGGGATGCTGGGGATCGAACCCAGATTGGCTGCATGCACGGCAAACACCCTACCTGAGCTCAGCCCTCTTGTTTTTATTTTTGGGCCACACTTGGCAGTGCTGAACTTTTATTTCTGGCTCTGCATTTAGGGATCACCCTTGGCAATGCTTAGAGAACCATATGCAATGCTGGAGATCAAACTAGGGATGCGAAACAAACACCTTATACCCCTGGACTATGTCTCCAGCTGCCCCTAATCATTTAATAATCTTAGGAAACTAATTCTAAGAATCAAATAAAATAATTTGCATAAAAATTCATCTAACTTTTGCCAGATTTACGTGGACTAAATTTTTTCCCAGAAGTAATTTATAATTTAACTACCTGATAGAACTATTTTTTTTTTGTTTCTTCTGTTTGGGGGTGACAAAGGCAGTGCTCAGGGGCTGTTCCTGGCTCAATTCTTATGGGGGCTCGTAGGACCATATGGGAGTCAAACCTGGGTCAGTCACACGCAAGACACCTAACTGCCTTACCTGCTATACTAAGATATAAGGGTCTTAAGAGAGTCATACTCAAAAATTACAAACTTCAAGAAATTAGCTATACTCTCTGAAGAGTATAGAGTATTAGCTATACTCTATAAAATATCAACACATTATATCTGAAATTAGTTAAAAGGTAAGAGCATGTGTATGTGGAAAGGCAAATGAAATAAAATATGTAAAACATGACCACCATAGAAAACTAAGAAGAGAAAAACTCAGCCACCCTGGGTAAGGTAATTGGATAAACGGGGGGGGGGATAAAGAATAAACTCTTAAAGAATAGGAATTTAACTCAAGATAGTTAAGAGTCAGTATCTATTCACTGACTGTAAAAGCCTATATAAAATGATTTAATGATCTCAGTTCAGATATCCTGGAGGTCTTATTAATGTGAGTGTAAAATACTGAAGGTAACATGTATAGAATAAAACCACAATTCCATTTCAGATATAATTAGACAGTAATTATACCAAATTACTATTTTCACAAAATATCTGAAATGGTACAAAATAATTTAAGATTTTGTTACTTCCAGAAACAAACATTAACCCACTATGTTACAAACACACATGCATTTTAAAAAAATACTAAACTGTATTTACTTTGTGGAATTTTTTTTTCAGTACATTAAAATTTGTGAGGATTTAACCTTATTTTTTCTAATTTTGATTTTTTAAAAAACTCATGAAAGAACAGGTAAAAGAAACCCCCAAACCATTTACTGGACGTATTATTATCAAGATCTAAAAAATTATGAAAGCTATATATTAAGCAAACTTATAGTCAATAATTATTAAATTCAAAGGAGTATTGAGAAATACTTCAGTTGAGTTCCTTTGCTAGTTCCTGTTAAAAGAACAAAAACTACTTTAAAGATGTAACTTTAAAAAAAATTCCCACAACATAAACTAGCCAGAATAAATTAGCTAGTTTTATGTTCTGCTTTGTCTTAAAAACCAACATAAATACTGAAAGACTTGTGTATCTTACTTCTAGAAAGAGAAAATTTTTAGTAACTTAAGTACAGTAATCTAACTCATTAATCATTAAAATTCTGGCCTAGTTACCTGCTTTTATATTTTTAAGTAAAAAATTCACTTACCACATATTTTACAGCACTAATAAACTGATTATGGAAGAGCAGATGTTGTGTTTCATCTTCAGGATTTGAAGCTGTGTAAAGCATGCCACAAACATTACAAGATACTGCTCCAAATCTTTTTTGTCCAGCATCCTATTAAAAATAAATAAATAAATAAAATTTCCCTCCCCAAAATAATAGTTCCAGAATAAAATATCAAAACCTCTAAAGTCATAACGTACACATGAAGTATTAGGAGCAAGAGAGATACTTGGCTTTACACTCAGCTAACCTGGGTTCAATCCTAGAACCTAATATGGTCCCTCAATCTCCACCAGAAGTGACTCCTGATCCCAGATGTGGCCCAAAAACATTTTGTTTAGGGGGCCAGACCCGATGGTGCTCAGGGCTTACTCCTGGCTCTGTGCTCAGGGATCGTTCCTGGCAGGTCTGGGGGACCATATGGGGTGCCAGGAGTTGGAAGCTAGGCCAGCTGCATATAAGACAAATGCCCAGTCCAATATACTATTGCTCTGGTCCCTAAGTGATTTTAAATGTTTAAACTGTTTAAGTAATTTTCAATACTGACTACACAAGATAAAGATGTTAATCTCTGAAATCCATAACTTTGAGAACTGCATCCATTTTAGTAATCTAATCAGTTACTACACAACATTTAATCACCATTACATAGAAATGAGAAATGTAGTTTAACACTGCCACCTTAGCCCTAAAATCCCCATGAGCAAATACTCTGAGAATATTTTTTTCTTTTTAAAATGTTTTCTTGGGGGCTGGAGCGATATAGCACAGCGGGTAGGGCGTTTGCCATGCACGCAGCCGACATGGCCGACTTGGGGTTCGATTCCCAGCATCCCATATGGTCCTCCAAGCACCGCCAGGAGTAATTCCTGAGTGCATGAGCCAGGAGTAACCCCTGAGCATTGCTGGGTGTGACCCAAAAAGCAAAATAAATAAATAAAATGTTTTCTTGGTGGGGATAGGAACAACAGTACACTTTACCTTGTCATGCAGCTGACCCGGGTTCAATCCCTGGCATCCCATCTGGTCCCCCAAGGCAGGGGGGTGGGGGGTAGGGGGGAAAAAAGTGTCTTTCTTTCTTAAAAGCAGAATGTGCCATTAGCCTTTATTTATTATAGAGGGTCACCCACTGTGGCACTAGGGAAGCCCAGCAATGCAAGTCTAACAGTTTGGTACTCAGGTGCTAGGGCCTGGTAATGTGGTACGACGCCACTAGTGCTAGAGAATTCAGAGTTAAAAGTGGGAATACTTGGGGGTGATTCAGTGCCAGGGATTAAATCCAGGTCCTGTACTCCGCCATTAGAACTATCTCCCTAGATCTGAAAAAATACATTTAAGCCCTGAAATAATTACACTGCTAAAGTTAAAGGAACTGGGGGTCGGGATGGTAGTACAGTGGGTAGGACGCTTATCTTTCATGAGGCTGACCTGTGTTCAATTCCTGGCAGATCGCATGCTTTGTCATGGCACTAGGAATCACAGGGCCAGGATTGCACTGGGCACGTGGGGACAGAGTCAAGGATCAAACTCAGTCTCATGTATTATTCACCTCACTGCTGAGGATGTAGCTTAGTAGGAGAGCACTTGCTTTGCATGTGCAATGCCCTGGATTAAATCGTGGCATCAGGGAGCTAAAGAGAGAGTGCAGCCAACCCAGGTTCAATCTCCAGCAAGCCCACCAGCAGTGATTCTTAAGCACAGAGCCAGGAGTAAGCCCTGAGTATCAATGGGTGTCATACCCCACTACAGCAAAAATAAGTCAATAGTGGCATCAGAAGAACACATACATATACAACCTTTTTTTCAAGTACAAAGTTCTCAGTAATTATAGTAAGTACTTCCACTTCAATTTCTTCATGGTAAATGATTAACAATAACGAACTACATCAATAATGCATTCGAAAAGTATTAGTTGTTATCATGATCGTTAATAGTATCATCAACAACTCTTGACCAGCAGTAACCAACAAAAGCAAGATCCACAAATCTGATTTTAAATTTTCTGTTAGATTAAAAGCCCAGAAGTAGGGCATGGGGATAGGCTCACATGAAAGAGCACATGTCTAGCACATGTGAGGTCCTGAGTCTCTTCACTTCACTGGATGCCCCCCCCTACCTTTTACCCCAAGTACAGACAGGGCGTGGCCCTGCGAGGACTACACCATCAGACCAAGCAAAGGGGTGCCAGAAATTGAAGCCAGACCAGCCGCATGCAAGGCAAGTGCCCAGTCCAATATACTATTGCCCTGGTCCCTAAGTGTTAAATGTTTAAACGATTTAAGTAACATTCAATACTGACTACACAGGATAAAGATGTTAATCTCTGAAATCCATATAACTTTGAGGATTGCTCCCATTTTAGTAATCTAATCAGTTACTGCACAACATTTAATCACTGTGCATGTCTAATACCTAGCACCAGTCTCTCTCCCTCCATACACCAACACCACCAAAGCAGCCTCCCAGCAATGCACCATGAATAGCCTGAGGACAGATAGGTGTGGCTTCCGAAAAATTATGATTATGTAGAGTGAAACTATATTAAATATCACTATTATCTTGGGTCCCTTTAATTCAATTTTGTTTTTGTTGTAAAAGCCAGGGCTGTGACTACTGTGAACTGCTGTATCCAGGGGCCAGCTGGGGAGGGGTTCATGCATTGCATGCATAAAACCCAGAGCACCAAGCATACAAGGCATGTGCAATATCATTTCAGCCACTTCACCAGTCCCCTCAAATTATTTTTGGGGAGCCACAACAAGTCCTGTGATTGGAGGGGTCATTGCTGTAGATGGTGGGGTACCATGCAGTGCCAGATACTGAATCTGGGTCAAATTTATTTTGAATCATCTTTTCCACATTGCCTAACTGTAGAATATTTTCAGTGTTCTACAGTTTATCTTCCAATAAAATTATTGAAAGAATTTAACATATTAAAATATAAAATCAGGCCGTATAGAAGGTATAGCAGATAGAGTTTGCCTTGTACACAGCTAACCTGGGTTTAATCCCCAGCAGTCCTAACGGTTCCATGAGCCCGCCAGAAATAATCTTTGAGCATAGAACCAGGTGTAACTCCTAAGTATCACTGGGTGTGGCCCAAAACAAAAAAATACAACCAAAAAAATTTTTAAGTCACTATATGTATTTTCAGAATATTTTAATATTCAAAAACTACTGAAACTACTAAAATAGTGATCAGATGACAGTTAAGAAAATAACAAATGTAACAAGGTATCAATCTGTTATGTGGCCCAGTACAGTTTGCCTTGCTGACCCCAGTTAAGATTCTAGGCTCCAAATATCCACATGTAGGTCCCTCAAGCACTGACCCAACTCACTCAAGCAGTCGGTACTAGTCCTGAGCATCAAACAGGAGTGGCCAAATACTGTAGCCCTCCCGCTCACCACCCTCCCCCCCGCCCCCATAGTCAAAGCATGAATTTGTTATAAGTAAAACCAGAAGAAATTTCAAAGTTCCTTTTTTCCCTACAAGATGAACACACTACTATACTAGGGAAGCAGACCAGGTAGGTGCCAACTGTCATCATATCAGGAATATTTCCTTAAGGCAGATTTATGGTGACAAAGGATATTTAGGGAAAAAATGAATAAATATACCCTTTAACAATTTACCTAAGAAGCACATAACAATACTTTATCAAAAAGGTCAAAAACATGAAGTTGTCTACTTACTATGATCAACTGTTTTTCATCAACTTTTTCTGTTTCTTTTAGCTTCAACTCCTTTGGAATTGTTAACTCCAAACGGGAATTACACTCAGACCAAGAATGATTTTGTGTCTTCTCTCTTAAAAATAACAACAAAATTTAATATGGAAATGTATCACTTCAAATCACTGGAAAAATAATTTACTTTGTATACAATATTGACAAATTTCAACTCTTATGGCATAAAAAATAAACTTTTATTTATTCATTTGGGTTTTGGGGAGATACCCGGCAGTGCTCAGGACTTAGTCCTGGCAGGCTCAGGGACCAGGTGGGGTTCAGGGACTGAACATTGGTCTGTTGCGTTGAAGGCAAGCACGCTATCCACTGCAATATCTTTCTGGCCCCTTAAAGAAGAAACCTTTAAAATCAAGTGGAGGGGATTGGAGAGAGTACAGTGAGCAGGGGCACACTTGCACACGGGCAACCCAGATTTAGTCCCTGACAACCCATAGGGTCTCCTCAGCTCTGCCAGGGTGTGGACCAACAACCAAAAATCATGAAAATTAAATTAAAATCATTTGAAGGGAGGCTGGAGCAATAGCACAACGGGTAGGGTGTTTGCCTTGCACGAGGCCAAACCGGGTTCGATTCCCAGTATTCCGTATGGTCCCCCAAGCACCGCCAGAATAATTCCAGAGAGAAGAGCCATGAGTAACCCCTGTGCATTGCCAGGTATGACCCAAAAAGAAAAAAAAAATCAAGTGAAGGGTAGGGTAAAGGTGAGAGCTGGGGTGACAGCTCAAAGATGGCTGAGTTGAGTCCCTGGCACTATATGGCCCCCAAGTTCCATCTGGTAGCCCGGGTGGGTCCCAGCACTGCTAAGCCCAAGCAGTGCCACACTGCCAGAGCCAAGCTTTAAACAGTCCAGCAGACACAGCTAGGCCAAGTATTACTAGCAGTGGCCCAGGGGCCCTCTCGAGCAATGCTTGGGAGACAGCCCCTCCCTTTACCACAGACATACACTCACTTTCTCTCTCTCTCTCTCTCTCTCTCTCTCTCTCTCTCTCTCTCTCTCTCTCTCCCAAGGATATAGCTCAAAGGATTAGCTTGCTAACTCCAGGCCCCAAGTTTGATCTCCAGCACAACAGTGCCCCACTCCACGATGGTAGCATCACTGCTGGGCCCCAGCATTTTGGGCTTGCACTTCTGGGCTGAGTATAACCAGGAGTGGCCCCAGGTCCTTGAGTACTGCTGGGGAGACCCCCACCCCACTCAAAAGGCAATCATGTTGATGAGCCACAAATACGATCCAGTGATAGAACACCTGCTCAAATGTGGGAAGCCTGTGATTTGATCCCAATCACCACCACAAAAAAACCTAAACAATATGAAAACAGAAATGTGGCAAAGCAGTAAACAGTATACCTGTGAGCTTATACTACATACATGTAATCACACAAGTGGGCTTTCAATTGCAGGACTTTTTTCTAATAGAAATGAACTACAAACAACTAAATATTTACAAAATGGATAAAAATAATACACCAAAATGGAACAATAATACAGCAAAATCTATGCATAATATTAAAAAATTAAGTGGGAAGGTGACAAAAATGCCCATAAAGTTGAAAAATAAAAATTTATATAAAATTGTATGGTATGTGTAATACATACCGTAAGAAAAAAAATACAATGAAGAATGAATTTGTAAGTCTTAGTGAAAAACTAGGACTATTAGCAAAACATTCAGGGTGGAGGGAACTCTCCCAAACTCAAAAGTCAAAGGTATAAAATCCTTAAGTTCTCAAACTTAGTACCTTACCTGTTGTCACTGATCTTAGATGTTTGGTTACTGAGTATACTACTATGCTGTTGGGGAACTGAACCTGTAATTTAATCAACAAGATGGGTTACATACATATATATTAATCTTAGTATAAGTTCTCCATTTAGTGATCAAATTATGATACAGAAAAGTTAACTGCTTAATTTTTAACACAGACCAATTAACAAAAAATGAGCCTTTTTCTAGAAAATACTTCTCAGAGAAAAGGCAGAAAAGCTCTAGAAAGTAATATAAACGTAATAGCATGTTGAGTTTCATCCTAGCTTCATTAATAATTACTAGGAAACTGTTTAAATGTCCACATATTATCACAGTCCTTAAGTGGGAATGAAAATTTTCTTTCTTTAAAAACATCTCTGAGGTCCAGTGAATGGTTCAGTGGCCCAAAAGAATACCTGGAAGTATGAGGGCAGAGTTTGAGTCCTGGTGCCAACCACACGCTTTGATCTGTGGCCTGGTGGCTCTGCCGTCTGGAACCCCCAGCACGCATCTGAGTGTGTGGTCTCTGTCACACAGCTAGTTGTAAGGACAACTACTACAATGTGGCCACCCCAGAGAGTACCACAACTGAAAAAAAGCATAAGTAAAACCACAGGAGTGCAACCCCTGGGAAGCACAGTCTGAGCCCCACAGCTAGTCTCCAGAAAGCACAATTCAAGGGACATGACCACAGCACAGGTACAAGCACCACAAAAGAAGTGAGAGCCCCAGGGACCAAGACAACTAAGTGTTCAAGCACCACAAAATGTACAGCCCCACAACCAAGCATTTGTAATCCTTGGTCATAACAGAGAGAAAGAAGGGGGCAACTAATTAGAGAAGTAAGTAATCTCTGGAGAGGCTGGGGAGATAGTACAGCACATAGGACATTTGCTTTGTACATGGTTAACGTTGGTTCACCACATGGTCCCCGATCATTAGAAGCGATCCCTGAATAGAGAGCCAGGAAAGAGCTCTGAGCACCCCCAACTAAGGCCCAAACTCCCCTCCAAAGAAAAAAAAGAAAAAGAATGTCTGGAGCTTATGGTTTGTTTGGTTGGGGGCAGAAGGTGGGACACATCAGTGGTTCTCAGGGATCATTCTGAGCAACGCTGAGGGACCATGTGGGGGGCCACGGGTCAAATATGTCCCTCTTGTACACGAAGCATATATTCCTACTTGTTGAGCTACCTTTCTGGCCTTATCTCTAAACTTTCAATCACATTAGTAAACAAATAATGCAATAATGAATTTTATTTTTAATGAACAAATGTATTGCTCATATTTAAGGTCTATCCTTACCCACTAAGAGGAAACAGCTAAAAAGATGAATGACATATAGCAGAAGCAATTATTTGACCTCAATATTTTGTTCCATATTTACGTTGTTTTTAGAAGAAAACAAAAGGAATCAGGAGCTTCCTTCCTATATTCCCCAGTGTTTCATCTGATTTGGGGTTGCAACTCTCCAACAACAGATCAAATATATATTGTCAAAAGTTTTTCATGAGGCCAGAGCAATTTAGTTATGCAGAAAGGCAAGCATATGTATATATATATGTGTATATATATATATATATATATATATATATATATATGCCTTCCACATGGGTAACCTGGGTTCGACCCCCATCATCCCATATAATTCCAAGTAATACCTGACTACACAGCCAGGAGTAACTCTCCCCTCACATCTTTCTAAATAAGTTTTATTCACTAAAAACTACCATGCTTCAATTTAAAAAATTAATTTTTTTAAAATTAAATTGGTGTTAGACAACTGGAAATTTAAGGATTTACTAAATCCTTAATTAAAATACAGAATCACTCATATTCAAAACTGAGTAAAGTTTAGCACTGTAGTACTGTCTCCCATTGTTTATCGACTTGCTTGAGTGGGCACCAGTAACATCTCCATTGTGAGACTCCTTGTTCTGTTTCTGGCATACTGAATACACCACACGGAGCTTGTCAGGGAAGTTTGTCAGGCTCTGCCATGTGGGCGGGATACTCTCGGTAGCTCACCCAGCTCTCCGAGAGGGACAGAGGAATTGAACCTGGGTCAGCCGCGTGCAAGGCAAACGCCCTACCTGCTGTGCTCCAGCCCAGTAAAGTACCAGTGCTATCACCCCAGCTCCAGTAAAGTTTATACATAAGAAAAGAGTCAGGGATAGAACTCAACCCTAGTATATTCAAGACCCAGACTATAATTCTAGACAATTCATGTATCCCCTACCTGACACTGTCTGGTATAATCCTAGTCACCCCCAAATGCCACTTAACTGCCTGAGGAGCAAAATGACAGACCCAAAGTGCTTCTGATTTAAAAAAAAAAAAAAACGTATTCTAAGAAAGAATGCCGATGTGCACTCTTTCATCCGCCATGATCCAGAGACTCAGAAATAAATCTTGAAAGAGGTCAACAAGTGGCAGAATTTCTCCTGGATCCTGCACAAGGCTGAGTTGTCCCAGGGCAACACGGGGCGGGGGGGGGGGAGGGGTTGAGCCCTGGCAGTTGAAAACCTCCATGCTTTACAATTGCCACCATGCTCTTGGCCAAACCTCACTGCTCAGACAAGCCTCATCCAGAAACTAATTTGTTGAAAAACTCAAATATGCGGGTTTTGTGACAAATCTCCACCTTTCACAGAGTTGGATGGGCTACTTTCCCTCATCTCCTTGTATTTCTGGAAGCCTGGGAGCCATACACACAACACAAAGCTGGAGTAAGTTGAATTTAACTCCAGCTATATAAACTCATTAAGAATTTGGAGACACCCTGAAGCACGCGGCCGTAGTTTCAGCCACAGGAAATCTCAAACTCTGTAATACTGATAAACCAGGAGTAGCATACCAGATTGGATGAGATGTAATGCAGAAGGCAACCAATATCAATTAAGAAAATATAAACATAGAAGGTTTAACCTATAACAACATCTTAGTAATCTCTTACACAAGGTCTCAAGGGCTCCGTGGTGAGATATAACAACCTTCACTAACTTTTTTTAAGGAAACATTTTTTGATCATCCTTTTAGCAAATTATCTGTACATGCAATGTAAAATAAATTACTAAGAGCCTGTTATGGAGGCAGACTCAAGGGGTGGTTAGATGGGTCAGAGCAAAAGTATAGCAGGTAGGGCAATTGCCTTGATCCCCAGCAGCCTATATGGTCCCCCGAGCACCGCCAGGAATAAATCCTGAGTGCAGAGCCAGGACTAATCCCTGAGCAGCACAAGGTATGACCCAAAAAGCCAAAACATTAAAATATTAAAAACTAACGGTGTAGAAAGGTACAATTGGTGGTAGGATTGGTGTCAGAATATTGAATGTCTATAACTTAACTAATGACTTACTAAAGTTATTAATAAAAATAATAATAAAGAATGCTACTGAACCTTTACTACACACATACCCGAAATAAACTTAATTTGAAAAATAATTTTTTTAATTTAAAAACAAAAACTGGGGCAAGAGAGTACAGAGGTCAAGGCACTTTGTCTTGCATGCAGCCAACCACATTCTATCCCTGGTACAGGGTCCTGAGCACCACCCAAAGTCATTCTATAGCTCAGAACCATGAATAGCCCTGAGTACTACAAGCTGTGGCCCAAAAAGGAAAAACAATACAAAAATGTAAGTAAGGCCAGACATTGGACTGGAGCACAATGCTTTATATTCAGGAGGCCAAAGTTGAACCCCTGGCATTACATGGTCCCCTGAGCACAAAGCCAGGAGTATCCCCTGAGCACCACCAGGCCCAAAACAAACCAACAAAAGTCAAATAGAAAAGACTTGTCAACCTAAGTAATTCTCCCACAAAAAGTGGTAACTGAAATGATAATCACACATTTGAAAAATACAAGCAATAAATAAGGTCTATTTGATAGTCAATATAGTATACTGTAATACTAATACAATGCTGTCAAATCCAAATATTTTCAGTGTATTACCTGGAAATGTACTGTCTCCTGAATCAATTTTTGCTTGACTGAGCAGTGCTGCAACTGTGGTGGAATTTTCCACTGTACTCTTTTCAAGCTTAGATTCCAAATGCGGGCTGAAATTCTGAAAACATATAATACAAAATGTTAATGTTGGCAATTCGCCACCATGATTTGTCTCTAGCTTTTTTAAAAAAAATTGGCTTTCAGAACTACATTTGTTTTACTCCAATATACCTGTATTTTAGCAAACAAAAAAAACTTAAATACAAAGAATACAAAGGAAACTTAAACAGATTAAGTTAAATAGCTTTAAAACATAGCCATGTCTATAACTAGCTTATCTGCATTATCCCCCTCAAACTCCCCTTCATGTTATACTGAAAACTTACCTGGCTCTATAATTTCAGCTTTTTCTATTAAAAACCTCACCACTCAATACAGTAGCCACTGCCACACCCAACAATGAGCTTTAAAATATCTAATTAAAAATAATTTTAAAATAATATGAGACGTTATCAAATTCACAAACCAGATTTTGAAGAGTAAACTCTGAGCACAGCTGCATCTAGTCCAAACTCTCCCCGCCTAATTTTTGGGGGGGCCACTCAAGTGATATTCAGGGATTCAGGAATTACTCCTAGCAGGGCTGGGGAGATCATGAGGGACGCCAAGATCAAAGAAGGGTCAGCCATGTGCAAGATAAGTGCCCTTGTTATCTGTACTATCTCTTCAGCACCCCTTCCCAAATTTTTTACATTAAAATGACAAATGAAAAAAAGTAATTCTACCAGTTATTTTGTTTCCTTAGTGTAGATACCAGACTTTAAAAAATATTTTATTAAAACCCCATGATTTACTGAGTCATTCATAATACTAGCTGTTTCAAGTCTTAAATGTTCAACACCAATCCCACCACCAGCGTGCCCCTCCCTCCACCAATGTCCCCAGTGTCCCACTCAGCACCCCAGTTTGCCCTCTTGCAGGCACAATCAAAAATACTTCATATTGTTACAACACAAAGGCAAATGGACTTATCAAATTTTAGGTCAGTTAAGAATCAACTTGTGATAACTATTATATCTGACAATGGTGTTACTAAAGCCAGTATCTTGAGAATTTACTCAGGATACTGGCTTTAGTTCTGGTTAGTTCTAGTTTAACCTTCTGTGTTATTATTTAGGTTCATTGAGCCTGGCTACCAGAACACTTTAAACAAGATATGTGGTTCACAATAATTCCTACTAGGAATTACTGATCTAGTAAGTCTTATCTCTACATAACTTCATTGCTTAAAGATAAACTACCAAGCTACACACAGACATACATTACCATTCCTTCTCACCAAATATGAAATAATTTACCATTTATCTCTCTTTGCTCTTACAGCTTTTTTTCCCCTGCTGGGTGACCCAAGCAATGTTTGGGGACTTAGGGGCTATTCCTAGAAATACCTGGCCAATCAGCCTGGACATTTCAATGCTAGGACCCAAAGATGCAATGCTGCTTTAGTCTAGTAATAATGGAGGCCACCAGGGTCACATCTCCAAACGATATTCATTTTTGTATTCCCAAGAGCCTCTAACTCAGAACAGCACTAAAGCAGATACTGAATAATTACTACCAAAAGAAAATACTCTAAGGGCCAGAGAAATATTACAGCAGGGCCATGTGGCCATCCCAGAATCAATCCCCAGCACCCCATATGGTTCCCAGAGATGGCCAGGAGTACAGGAATAACCCAGGAATAAGGTCTGAGCACCGCCATTGTAGCCCAAAAGGAAAAAAAAAGGAATATGAAAGGAAAGAAAGGAGAAGAGAAGGAAAGAAGGCAGAAGAGGAAGAAGGGAAGGAAAGAGAAAGGAGGATGAGGGATGGGAAAGGAGATAGAGGAGGCAAATGTTCACCACTGGCTAAGAAAAATTTAAATGGAAAATGGGAACAACTATGTGAATTTGTATGTATCAGTATTGTGACTGTTACTAAAACATTTAACATCTGTATTTCACTTTAAGAGAAATGTGTTCTTACAATGAAAAAGGGCCAGAGACATAATACAGTGAGTAAGAAGCTTGCCTTGCATGCAGCCAACCTGGGATTAATCCCTGGCACCATATAATCCCCTAGCAAATCCAGAAGCAGACCCTCTGTGTTGAGGAACACAGAGCGAAATCGGAAGTCTTAGACAAAGCTAGATATGAACCGAAAACAAGAATGGGAAAAAAAGGAAAAGAAAATTTAAAAAGCAGAAAAACTGAAAACAAGACCAGTGACATCAACCTACTATACCTGGAAGAAAGCAAGATTTTAAGAGCAACAGTACAGGGGGTAGGTTTTTTGTCTTGCATCCGGCTGATCCAAGTCTGATCTCTAGCATCCCAAGTAGCTCTCCAGTAACACCAGGAGTAATTCCTAAACTCAGCCTGGAATAAGCCTTAAGCACAGCAGGGTGTAGCCCAAAGTCAAACCAAGTCATAAAATAAGCTTTAAGATTCAAAAGGTCCAAATGATTTAAATTGTTACCTTCCTTTTTATATGTTGCTGGGATTCAACACGGGGCTTCACACATGCAAAGCATACGCTGTACCAGTGGGCTGTGTGTTCTAGTCTGTTCCAAATAATTTAAATTCTGCCTCATGAATTCATAGAATGACTGCACCCCTGGCCTTACTAAACACACCATTCCTTGGTAAGGCGGAGACTATCTGACACAATGCAACTAATAGCAAAATTACAATAGTCATAGAAAGGTTTTTTTCTTGCATGCTGTTGAGGTGACAGCCACCTGGATTCTAATCCACATACGGTTCCCTGAGCACAGCCAGGGGTCACAGACCCACGAATATTCCCTGAACAGAATCTGTGGTGGCCCCAAATCCACCTTCCCCCACCAAAAAAAAAGGCAGATTCGTGTATCCATGTCAAATATACTTACTGTACAAAACCAAGTTGCCAAAAATTACAAACACATACATAAACTATGCTAAAAATCTGTAACACGCTGAAAACACAAACTACAAAACATTCTTTACGGATTCATGCAGCAACAAGAGCACAATTAATTCTGGAGAGTTTAAAAGAGCAAAAAGGTATCTTTAATCTTTAATGTATTATTCTTATTTTAAAATATATGAATAGTAAAATGTTAATTTTCTTTTTCTCAAATTTAGGATCATAAACACATTGAGTACAGGCACTAGTCTGAATGTTTAAAATATTCAAGAAGGGCTGGATGATAGGACAGCGGACAGGGCCTTTGCCTTATACGCAGCCGACCCGGGTTCAATTCCCAGGCATCCCATATGGTCCCCCAAGCACTATCAGGAGTAATTCCTAAGTGCAAAGCCAGGAGTTACCCCTGTGCATTGCCAGGTATGAACCAAAAATCAAAAACTTTTAAAAAAAATTTTTAGATAAAATATTCAAGAAATTTAAATGTAAATAAAACACATTTTATAGGGCCTTTTCTCATAATGTTCAAGACTGAGGAGTTGTATAAATCCAAAACAAAGAAGGTCAAAATAATGTAATCTAAGTCTCTCTAATCAGTATAGAATAAAATGAACTACATTTCTGTTTTTCTTCCAATAAGAAAGAAAAATAGAAATGTAGTTTTTTTTCTTCTGTCCACCTTTTGAGTTCTGACAGGCATTTCTGCAGCAAGAAATAAGAATATGTACTCCCCAGCAGCACCTGATATGGAGGCATCAATGAGCTAACAAAGACATCCTGGAGGGAAAGCCATTTCATCTCTGCAAGTGGCAACACTCATACTACTACTACTACTACTACTACTACTACTACTACTACTACTACTACTACTACTTGCTCCTTCCTTCTAACTATAATTATTAGGCAGTTATCTACAGTGCACATGTCCACTTGGACAGAAAATGAAATCTAAGAATACATATGGTATTCTAAGGTATCCACTTCCTTTACAAAAACTTTGATTTTTCAGTCCATGAAAATAACAGAAAACGATGCTGGCTTCTGGCATAAAGCCAATATCCTTCTTTCTGATTTGTTTCTAGACCAAAATGTTTCAAGAATACTAAATGACTCCTATAACTTTAGAATGGGCTAGAGCAATAGCACAGCAATAGGGCGTTTGCCTTGCAAGCAGCCAACATGGCCGACCCGAGTTCGATTCCTCCGGCCCTCTCTGAGAGCCCGGCAAGCTACCAAGAGATCTTGCCCGCACGGCAGAGCCTGGCAAGCTACCCGTGATGCATCTGATATGCCAAACACAGTAACAAGTGTCACAATGGAGACGTTACTGGGCCCGCTCGAGCAAATCAATGAACAAGGGGAGGAGAGCCAGGAATAAACCCTGTGCATTGCCAGGTGTGGCCCAAAAAGCAAAAAAATAAATAAAAACCCCAGCTACTGTCTTAACAGCATTCCTTAGCAAATTTGTAAATTTTTTGACATTAGTCAAGCTAAAATGTTATGTTTATTACAAAATACTCAAACACTTCGACTCTAGATAATAAAAATGTATTACCTTATCTGGTGTTGATTCAGAAGAATGTTTCATCTGGTTATCCAATGATGGGACAGGAAGTTTTATCTGATTATCCAAATCACAATTTTCAGAAGCACTTTTTGTGGTTTTATTAATTTCAACTTCAGTGTCATTAATTTTAGCTTCTTCAGAATTAAGTTTTTTCATTTCTTCCTGCTGACAAGCCATGTTTTTATCAAGATGCGGTTTTAACCCTAAAAATGTACTCTGAGTCACTGGATGATGCACTTCTAAAGCTGGTAGTGAAAAACTGGTTCGTAATAAGTCCAATTTGGGAGAAACTTGAGAATCCAACTTATTTTGTTGCACAGAATTAAACTTTGATAGCTTAATTTTAGTCCAGTTAGAGTTCTTTTTAGTTGAGCTGTTTATTCCATTTAGTATACATTTCACAGGCTTTGTTTTTCTACTGGGAAAGAAACGATTACACTGAACATCCTGATTTGTTTTCTGGTGATGAAGTGTTTGCCCTTCAACATCGGTCTCTTCCAATTTCACTTCCGTACACTGGTCCTCATTTACACTTTCTACTTGTGAAGATTCCTTTCTCACCTCTACAGTATCTGACTCAATTTCACCAGCAATTTCTTCACATAGTTGAAGAATGCTACCTCGCTTGTTCTTTCCTTCTTGCTCCAGTTCGTTATCGACATTTTGTTCAGGCACTAATGGCTGTGGACGTTTTGGGGATTTTGCAGTAGTAATCACTTGTGTATGAACAGACTTCTTCATTTCACTCTTTTCAGAGATCAGTGAAGTAGCCACTTTTGATCTTTTTATCTCAGAAGCTACAGGCACAGGTTTTGTTTCCTCTTTTCTAGAATTCTTCTGATGACACTTTTCATCAGATCCTTTTAAGCACTGAGAACTGCTGGTATCAGCTGCCTGGTGCTCTACTTTGCGTTTTTTTCCTTTTGGTGAATTTATTTCATTGAGAACTGGATTTCCATCCTCTTTAAAGTCAGACTTCTCCTGTACTTTCCTTTTCACATGGTTTGTACTTGTTTTTACTTTACTAGTCTTACTCTGAGTATTACTACAGTACTCTTTTCTTGTTAGTGGAAAATTCTGTTTAACTGCTTGTACTGGGCCCTGAATTTCTCTACTCCGCAGAGTCCTTGTTGAAACCTCTGCTAATTGTTGTAGTCTTTGTGATCTTCGGTTAAGCTGTTCATTCGATGTGGAGGTTTCATTCACTGATTTTTTCTGAGATGATTTCTTCTTTTTCATAGATTCTTGTTGTGAATTTACAGTTACATTTTTATTAATGGAGTTGTTAGCTTTTTTGTCACTGGATGCTGCCTTTGCTGACCTTGTACTCATGCATGTTCCAAATTCGGGCCGATTTATTTTATTTTCACTGGAAGAATTAACTGGTGATTTTAAAACTTCCTTTGGTCCTGATTTTTTGGCTAGATTTTTCTGAGACTCTTCAATTTTTGTTTCTAAATTTCTATCTTCTCTTTTCTTAGTGACATTGGAGGAATTTTCTTTTGATTTCTCCTGCATGGACATCATTCCTTTGTCCTCCTTTTCTGAGTAGTTTTGAGAGAATTTTCGTGACCTTGAAGGTGGGAATGCTGAATGCCTAGTATTATTACTGAGAAGCAGGTCTTAAGAATGAACTTTAACTGATGCTGCTATACATTTTCAACAAGAATACTGGTTTGCTTCAAGTAAGGTTTCTGTCATCCCTAGGATATGAGAAAAGCTAGCATGAGGCTGAAAGATATTTGTTTTACTTGGGCAAGGTTACAGAAATTTGAACAAAAATGTAATTCTAATTTGCAATTTCTGGAACTTTTTTTTATAAAAAGTTAAGTTTGGGTTCAATTTACTTTGTGAGTTTCTCAATTAATACTGTAATACCTAGCCCTATTATTGAAATTTATTTATCACTGAGCTGTCTGTTTCGACAATGATTTTGAAAATTTTTTTCTTTTAAGTTTACAGTTACTAGACTTTGATTCATTTGAAACATGTCTTAAAGCTAACACGTTTCTTTTTCTCTTTGCTGAGTCTGTTGATTTAAAATTCTTATCTAACCTCTTTCGTTTAATAAAGTACTCTATTAATACAGATTTCCTTTTGTGCTGCCATTTCTGAAAAATTAAAGAAAATAAAAATTAACTTTTGCACAATTTAAGAAATATGGCAATGCTAATACTATAAACAACCATGATTTATATCAAATCTAACTTGTCCTCTTAAAGTGCATATTTAGTCTATATATAGTTAAAGCTATCATAGTATCTTAAGTACATTTCCAAAAATAATCAAGATTATTTTATAGAATAGAATAAATGAAATCAGTTAACTCCATGAGGTTTACTTACAGTTCTTTTCCCACAAGACAGAACTGATCTTTCAGCAACCATAACTCAAGAAAATTTGACAAAATCATTCCTTATAATATGCTCTTAACACATTACACAGCACCTAAAAGAAAAAAAAGTATTTTTAAAAGTTTAAAAGTAACAAAGGAAAGACTTAACCAATCATTCACCTCTCATTAAATACAACTTACCTGGGCCTATCTTACCATTAATATCCAGAGCTTACTTTATAATATAGCATCTAATTTTTGTATTTATAACCTGAAAATAGAAAACACTCATCCAATGGAATAGTATGGATCCATTTTATGTTGTAGAAAAAGTTGTAAAAATGTTTGTAATACATGCAGTTAATATGTTACTCCAACAAAGTAAAATCTTGTCTTGAGGAAAACAATGCATATAACTAATTATATATAGAAAAACACTGTCACACAATAAAAAGGCAGATTTAAAACACACATATAGCTAGCTCTACTCTGATGTAAACCTACAGAAAGAAAGAATGAATGAATGAATGAATGAAAAAGAAAAAAGAGAAAGCAAGAAAGCAAAAAAGCAAGCAAGCAAGAAAGAGCAAGCACAGGGGAGATAGCTCAAAGGGATACAGCACAAACCTTTGATGTCCACGGCCCTGATCATAATCCCTGACTCCACAAGCTCCTCAACACAGAATCACCAAGTGTGACCCTTATTACCCCCAAGCACTTCAAGTAAGGTTTCAGTCATCCCCAGGACATGAGAAAAGCTGTCAGAAAAGCACCTGGCACTGTCAGGAAAGCTGTCAAGCTCAAATAACATTCGATCTGCACTACCACCAGCACCACTAAAAAATAATGAAAATAATTTATAACAAAAAGCAATTAAGTTCTGCTAAATATTCGGGTATGCAGATTTTGTGATGGAAATCTCCAGAGTTCCTCGGGGTCGGGATGGGCTACCTTCCTCTACCTCGCTGTACTTACAGAAGCCTCGAGCCATGTCCACATCCCCAAAGCTGCCACCCAGTTAAAAAGCTACTCCAGCCTTACCTTCCGATAAAAATAATGAATGCCCTGAACAATTATGAGGACCTCTTAGTATCTGTATTGCAAACCATAATGCACAAAGGAGAGAGAGAAAAAAGAAAAAGTGCCTGCCATGGGGACAGGCTGGGGATGGGGAGTGGGGTCTTGCGGTATGGTGGGAGGGAAACGGGGGACACTGGTGGTGGGTAATGTACACTGGTGGAGGGGCGGGTATTGAATCATTGTATGATTAAAACCCAATCATGAACTTGCTTCCATAATCCAAAAGCATTGCCATGCTCATGCACTATTAGGTTTTGTAATGGTGTATCTCTTGGATATTCAATTAGGAAAATAAAAAGGTAACGTGGAGTTCATGCCTGCTTCAGTCAGCTTAATCAGTGGCTGAATAAACAGCAGTACTCCTACATTAAAAAAATTAAAAGCAATTAAGTTTATTTTTGCTTTTGTTTCTGGGCCACACCTGGCAGTGCTGAGGGTTCACTCCTGGTAAGCTCAGGCGCAATATCGTGTGCCCAGGATCAAAACTAGGTCGATCACATCAAAGGAAAGCACCCACCCACTGCTGAACTATCACTCTGGCAATATGTTTCTAACAAGAAATATAAAAAACAAACCAATAAAAGTATGTAAGCTACAAAGAAATCCTAACACGCACCATTCAAGAAAACCCAAATCCTAATCTGGCAATGAGAAAACCAAGAAACTGTTAATTTAAACAACAGAACAGCTAGAGATACACAGGGGTCAAGGAGTTTGACTTCCGGGGAGCTGACCCCAGCTCAATAGCCATCATCTCATATGGTCTCCCAGACACCTGAACAACGAAAGAAATCGGCCAAGCCCTTCCCGTCCCCATCATACACAAATTCAGTAGATATTTTTAACAATACCACAAAGTTGACACAATTAAGAAAGATAAAGAAATAATAAAAATTTGAGGAGCTGGAGCAATAGCACAGCGGGTAGGGCGTTTGCCTTGCACGCGGCCGACCCGGGTTCGGTTCCCAGCATCCCATATGGTCCCCTGAGCACCGCCAGGGGTAATTCCTGAGCGCAGAGCCAGGAGTAACCCCTGTGCATTGCTGGGTGTGACCCAAAAAGCCAAAAAAAAAAAAAATTGAAAGACTGAGCAGCAGGTAAAGGACTTATTTTGCACAAAGAAGACCATGGTTCAATCCCCACAACTCCATATGGTCCCCCAAGCTCAGGAGTGACCGAGCACAGAGCCAGGAGAAAAACCTAAGCACTGCTGGGCATGGCCCAAAAACTTTAAAAAAATACTATTTTCTCAGAAAAAAAAAACTAAGACAATATAAAACATATTTAATACATAAATTCACAAAGGTGAATAGGTAAGAGGGAAATACCATAAAAATTCAAAACCTGGAACAAAAGAGACAGTTCAAGACGCTGAACTATATCCAGGCCTAAGTTTTATGCCTGACACCCTGAACACTACTGAAATTGACTCCTGAGCCAGATTTGCAAAGCTGGGTGTGGGAAAAAAAAATTTAGGCCATAGTAATGGTACAATGCGTAGGGCACTTCCTTGCATGTGGCCGAACCAGATTTGATCCTCATCACCACATAAGCCCACCAGGAGTGATCCCTAAGCACACAGTCAAGAATAAGCCGTGATCATAGCCAGGCATGGCCCAAACACCTCCCATTCAAATTCAAAGTGTTAAACAATCCACTGAAATATATAATCAAAAACATCACAGACTAGAACAGTAACACATACACAAATCAGCTTAAAAAGTGATCGAGTACCAAAGGGGAGGGGGGATGGCTGTTGAGATATGTAAGGCAGATAGGGGGCTTGCCTTGCAATCCGCCAACCCAGGTTCTATCCTGCACACCCCACACAGTCTCCCAGCCCGGCTAGGAGTGGTCACTGACTGCCAAATCAGAAGAAAGCCCTGAGAAACACAAGGTGTGGTCCAAAACCAAAAACTTAACTCCTGCACTATCTCGTAAGCACTAATCATTTTGAAAGGCACTAAACATAAAGTCTAAAGGACTCACCTTACTGAAACGGGAATCATGTATCACTTTAAGTTGATTGATGATGCGTCTAATAAATGATGCTTCTAAAAACTTCCTGTGTATTTGTGATCTTTGGGGGGAAAAAAAGAATTCATTAACTACCAAAAAAAAAATCTTTTTTTTAAAAAAGACATAACACAGTACTCTTTTTTTGGGGGGGGGTCACACCCAGCAATGCACAGGGGTTACTCCTGGCTTTGCACTCAGGAATTACTCCTGGCAGTGCTCAGGGGACAATATGGGATGCTGGGAATCAAACATGGGTCGGCCACGTGCAAGGCAAAACGCCCTACCTGCTATACTACAGCTCCAGCCCCAACACAGTGCTCTTAACTGACATATTAAAGCAATTCAGACTTAATTGTTTACAATTAAGTAAACAATGGCCTAATGATTTTCTTCATGCACGAAATATTACAACTGCAATATAGTACCAATTTATTTTTATACTCTCTAACAGATTTTGTTTTCATCACTATTAATTACTATCTGTGGGCCAGACCAAATTAAGTACAGGGCTTAAGGTGCTTATCTGCACACAGTCAACCCTTGGTTCAACCCTCAGCACCACAAATGATCCCCAAGCTCAGCCCCCACCCCATCCCCCCCACCCCCCGCCCAAAAGCCTGACTGAGCACCTCCAGGTTTGCCAACTCTCTCATCCTCCAACAGTTAAAAATCAATAGAAAAGATATTTCTTTCAAATTTCACACGTTTAAAATCTCAAACAATGTTTGGGGGCTGAGAATGTAGGGTGCATGCAGTCATGTAGCCCCAAGAACTGACAGACCAGAGCACTGCCAGAAGCACCCCCTCAACAATAAAAATTAAAAAAAAAATCAATCCCCAATTTGTAACCCTAATTAAAAGAAATACAAAGAAATACAAAATCATAACTGAGATCTGAGTTCTCCCAACTCAAAAACAAAGTGCAAAAACAAAAACAAAACCCCACAGTTATTATACAGATTTGAACACAATTTAAAACTTCATCTAATGGGGGCTAGAGCGATAGCACAGTGGGTAGGGTGTTTGCCTTGCACACGGTTGACCCGGGTTCGATTCCCAGCATCCCATATGGTCCCCTGAGCACTGCAAGGAGTAATTCCTGAGTGAAGAGCCAGGAGTAATCTCTGTGCATTGCCAGGTGTGACCCAAAAAAAAAAAAAAAAAAGAAACCTTCATCTAATGAATGTATGAACGCACATATTATCCTCTAATTATAAAATGTTCTTTTAAACACACATGGGATATTTACAATGCCCCAAATACAGGCCACAATAAAGGTTGCTCCTCAAGCCTCTGTTCTCCCCTTGCGTCTGTATCTCATTTGCTTGTCTCTATGTCTGTTTTTTCCACTCTGGAAAAGCAAACCTGTGTTCTCTCTTGAATACCTACTGCCTTTTTTTCTCTCCTCACATCTTTCTAAATTTCGTCAAATAAAAAATAGCTCGCTTCAAAAAAATACTGCCTAAGCCAAAGTCTCCACAAACATCCAAGAAAAAAATACATACAGTATGTTCTCTAACAGCGCAGTTACACTAGAAGTAACTTATTTCCAAAATTCAAGGTAGACACTGCCTGAAAGTTTGGAAATTTTTAAAAAATCTGTTCTTCTGAACCCAAAGAAATTACACTTTAACCACAGTGGATGAACTCGTTCTACCAGATACCAATTCTTAAACTATAAACTATACTAATGTGGGTTATCGTGGAAATTTAAAAAGAGAAAAAAATTTAAAAATTATACTAATGTGTGTTAGTGTTTTGGAGACAGACCAATAACAGAAACAAGAGCACCCATAAACTACAGTGGGAATTATTTTTTTTTAAATTAAACTGGACAAACTCTGCCAAATGTATTACAAACATAAAATGTGAAAGTGAAGAAACAGACCTAAAAGATGAATGATGAAATATAAACAGGATTAGCATATGTACATATGGTTTAAAATCCTACAAACCAGGGCACAGAAAAGATTGTACAGCAGGTAGGGCACTCGCCCTGAACACTGCCAACCTGGGTTCGATGACCTGGGTTGGATATCCAGCATCCCATGTGATTTCCCAAGCACCACCAGGAATAAAATAATCCCTGAAAAAAGTGGCCAGAGTAAATCCTTAGCACAGCCAGGTGTGGCCCAAAGGTTAAACAAACAAAAAGCAGTAATGGGCCAGCAAGATCAGAGAGATACTGTCAGGTGCAGGCCGTAAGAGAGCTTGTCTTGCAGTATAACCAAGCCCAGTTCCATTTCCAGAATGGCATACGCCACACCCCACAGCATGGCCAGAAGTAACTCCTGTGTAGAGCCAGGAATAGGCGTTGAGCAGAACAGAAATGGCCCCAAACCCCAAATTTACACTTTTTTAAATAAAAAAAGTAAAACTACATTTTTATTTAAAAACACAATTTCCTGGTGTCCTGAATTGTCTAAAGACATATTACATAAGTAAATATTACATATATATGCGGGAATGTAGGTATCAAATCTACCTCATCACAAGTGAGGCATGTGCTCTATGGCATTGAGTTATACCCCAAACCACTGTTCTCTCTCCAGTCCCAGAACCCAAAATCACCTAGTTCTTACCAGCCTTTCCCTTAAGTCATGAAATGACATGACAGAAATACTGTGAACAGTTTCTTAAGCATCATAAGTACTTACTAAATATTACTTATCATGTTACTGATAAGTATTTTTGAGCGGCCAGAAATACTGTATAGTCGATAAGGCTCTTCCAGGCACACAGCAGACCCAGGTTTGATCCCCGGAACCACATATAGTCCCCTGCAAACCACCAGAAGTGATCCCCTGAGCATGGTCAGCTGTGAACCCCTAAAAATTTTTTTTTATTTTTTAATGAAATGGGGCTGGAGCAATAGCACAGCGGGCAGGGTGTTTGCCTTGCACGCAGCCAACATGGCCGACCCAAGTTCAATTCCTTCGCCCCTCTCGGGGAGCCCAGCAAGCTTTGTCGCCCGCACGACAAAGCCTGGCAAACTACACGTGATGTATTCGATATGCCAAACACAGTAACAAGTCTCACAACGGAGACATTACTGGGCCCGCTCAAGCAAATCATTGAACGGGAGGACAGTGACAGTAACAGCTGAATGAAATGAGAGTCAAAAAAGAAAACATTTGCCTTGGTTACTTCCAGTGTCACGTAACTACTCGACAAGTCCATTTTTATATTATCATGGTCTCTCAACTTTTTTTTAAAGGGTTTTTTTTTGGGGGGGGGCTTTTTGGCTTGTTGGGTCACACGCGGTGATGCTCAGGGATTACTCCTCACTCTGCACTCATGAATTACTTCTGGTGGTGCTCAGAGGACCACATGGGATGCTGGAATCAACCCAGGTTGGCTGCGTGCAAGGCAACCACCTTCTCCACTGTGCTCAAGCCATGTCTCTCCCAACTTTAATACCTAAAATTCTACTTTAATTACAATAAGGAAACTGTTTCAAGGTACACAAAAACCCTTTTCAATTACAATATTTCAATAGATTAAATTCAAACTAGAGTAAAAGATCAATTAAAAGTGCAACACTGACTGGTGAAGTAGGACTGAAGCACAACTCTGCGTGTAGAAGCCCAGGATTTGATCCCAGGCACAAGTTTCCCCACCCCCTCTGCACCACCAGAAGCCACACCCAAAGCAACAAGCTGGGAGTAGTTGTAGCCCCCAAGTATGGCTAAATACAGTTTAATAAAAAAGTGGGAAATGTATGATTTGGAGCTGCAGAGATAGTTCACCATGCTCCGGGCCAGACTCCACTACTTGATTCAAGCCTCACCCAGGAATTCATTCATTCATTCATCATCCTGTTATTCGTCGATTGCCTCGAGCAGGCCCCAGTAACGTCTCTTTCATCCTAGCCCTGAGATTATATTCAAGGCTCTTTAGGAATAATCTGCTGAAAAACTCAGATATGCGAGTTTTGTGACTGAAATCTCCAGGTTTTCAGTGAGTCAGAGAAGGAACACCCCCCCTCACCCTCCCCCCCATCTCCCAGTAGTTCTGGAAGCTCCAGCAGTCACACACATGTCCCAATGCCACGACCCAGTTAAAAATTTAACTCCAGCTGTATTACCCCACTTAAAATGTTTGAACTTCCTGGAGCAAGCAATTGCATTTGCAGCCGTGATACATCTCAAACTCTATAACACTGATAAACCAGGAGTAGCGCATCAGATTGGATGGGATGTAACATGGAGGGCAACTAATTTCAATTAACAAAATTCAAGCACAAAAGGCTTAACTTGCAACAACATCTTAGTAATCTCTTATACAAGGACTTAATGACACCATGGTGAAAAACAACAACCTTCACTAACTTTTTAAGGAAACATTTTTTGATCATTCTGTTGGCAAATTATTAATAATAAGCAATATAAAATAAATGGAGGACCTGCTATGAGTGCAAGCTCAAGGGGTGATTGGGAAACCTGTAGATAATAGAGGAAGGAAGGTGGAATGGTGGTGGGACTGGTGTTTGGATAATGAATATCGTAACAAATCATTATGAACAACTTCATAAACCACGGTGCTTATATAAAGTGAGGGAAAAAGTAAATTTAAATAGAAAATGAAAGTTAGAAGGGAGATACTTCAGATTTTTTTCAAAAATGCTGGGCTGGACAGAAAGCATAAGGACGGTTCTTGCATTGTATGCAGCCAATCACCCCCTTTCAATTTCCGGCATAGCATATGATACCAGAAGTAACACAAGCAAAGAACTAGGAACATAACCTGAGCACTGTAGGTATGACTCCACTCCCAATTCCTCCACCCCCAAAAAAGTGTAGTCAGGTATGTAGCCCAGCCATAGAATATTATAGTTAAGAGGCCTTGGGTTCAATCTCTGGCAATGGTGTTAAAAAAAAAAAAGTGTAAAGGGATCTTAACCAAAATGACAGGATGGCGAATCACTTCATAAAAGTAATATTTATAACCCAATTTCATTTACATTGAGTTTTCAGCACTGCGGATCTCAGAGAGCAAAGGACATAAATCTTGTTTTCCTTAGATGAATTTGTACTGCAATTAAGGACAAGCTACTTAAGTACAAGCTCTTCAAAAAAGACAAAACAGCAGGTTTACCCATATGATATATTTGCCAAAAATAACTAACCTACAACATCAGTTTTGTAAAACAGAACAAATGCAGGGCCCAGGGAGATAAGTCAAAGGAATGGAGCACATGTTTCGCAGACAGTAAGTCTGGGTTCTTTCTTGGGCCCTACATGGACCTCTAAGCAGTGCCAGCAGCAGAATCCAAAGCCCAAGCTAGGAGTAGGCAGGAAGCACTACTGGGTGCAGACAGACACACACACACCCTCCTGCACAGGGGGACCCCAAAGGGGCCCCTGAAGGCTGCCAGGATTGATCCCTGAGTACAAAGTCAGGAATAAGTACTTAGCTGCATGTGGGAAAAAAAAAATGATAAATCTCTTAGGGATGTAAATCAGTGGTAAAGCAGATGCTTGACACAACTGAAGTCCTGGGTTCCATCTCTGATACCCAAAAACAAATATATCCTGTCCTGTTCTCTACATAACTACTAAACTGACTGAGCAAGATGACAATTAGAGTATAACTACCTCAACTAGTAAGAAAAGGTAGAGGGGCCTGAGCTATAGCATAGTTATAGCTGGTAGTGTGTTTGCCTTGCACTTGGTCAGCAGGAGTTTGATCCCAGGCATCCCATACAGTCCCTGGAGCACTGCCAGGAGTAATTCCTGAGTGCAGAGCCAGGGATAATCCCTGAGGATCGTCTATGTGACCCAAAAAGACAGAAGGAAAAAAAAAAAAAGAGTTCAAAAAATCAGAACAAGTGTGGTCCAGGAACTCAACTTTGAAAGTCACAAATCTGTCTTAAGGGGATTCTGGACCAAAAAGACGGTTTAAAGAGGGAAATGACTAGATTACAATCCAATTTTTTCTCATTTTCTCAAAAGCTCTAGGCCTAAATCTGCAGCTTCCAGGATACGAATTTTCAACCTACTGTCACATTAAATGCTCTTGGTATCAAGTGCTGAGAATCCTTAAGTTTTTCTAACTAAAAAAAAAAGTTCCTAATAACCACAATATTTCACACTGATATTCGAATTTTACCCAAATTTTAATTTACTTTTCCAGGCAGGTTTATATTTCGACATTTTAAGCTTTTTAAAAATAAAAGTTGTGAAAGGCCGGAGAGATAGTACAGCGGGCCGGGTAAGAAACAGGCCCAGCCGGGTCGACCGCCGACCCCCCCCCCCCCAAGTGGGTGCCCTGACCCCTAAGCACAGAGCCTGGAGTAAGCCCTGAGCACCGCCAGAGGTGCCCCACAAAACAAAGTTTAGAGGCACTGCATATGAATAACGCTGTAATACACATGAATTATTCCATTCCAAAAAAAAAAAAACCTGTCATCGTTGGAGGCGGGAACCCATTGATATTCGAATATTCCACCTAGGAAGTCTTCTCCCAGCAGCTTCTGCAAGCTCCTTCCTGAACTCATCTGATGAATACTAGGCACTGCAAGGACTTCCTGCTTTAAGGAGCCCCCTGCAGCTCTGGGGCGCGGGCGCCCAAGGTTCCCGGGACTAATCCCAAATCGCCGCCGCCCGCCGCCCCGCCGCGCGCCCATTCCCGGGTCAAACGCCTCCAGTGCGACGCTCCGCGAGCTCCACGGGCGGGAGGTGGGGGTGGCAAAGTTCTCCCGTTCGGGGACCTGCTCCACCCCGCGGCACGTGCCTCTCCCCCGAAGGAGCGAGAACGCCCGAAACCCTCCCCCGCCGCTCTCGCAGGCAGCCCCGGCGCGCCCCGAGCCCCGACTCTGCGGCCGTGACCTTGCCCCGCACCCCCTCCCCGGGATCCCCGCAGCCCGGCCCGCGCGCGCACAGGCCTCGGGGTGCAGGCGGGCCGCGGGGAGTGGGGAGCGGGGGTCGGGGGCGGGCCGGGCCGCGGCTACCTGCAGGCGCCCCCCCGCCGCCCGCCCCGCCCCGGCCCGACCCGGCCGCGGTCCCCGCGCTCCCGCCGGCGGCAGGTGGGTCGGCGCTCGGGGCCGCCCTCGCCTCGCCGGGACCCCCTCGGCGCTCTCCCGCGCGCCTGAGGAAGCGGAGGTGCGGCCGCCGCGACGCCGCTGCAGCCCGCGTACCTGCTCGCCCCGGCCGCGGGTCCGACGCGGGCCGCCTCACATCCGGGTGGCTCCAGCCGCGACCGCCGCCTCTCCCGCGGCGCAGCAACGCCAAACTTCCGGCGACGACGGCGACGCCTCGCCCGTCAGATGGGAGTTACCTGTGACTGCCTCGGGCGCGCTTGCGCAACGCTCCTCCTCGGCCCGAACCGGCGCCGCCGACGCGCCCGGAGGAGGAAGATGGCCGCCACGCTCGCTGCGTGTCACGCAGTTTTTCGCCCCGGCCCGGACGGCCGGGCGTCGGGGAACGGCGAGCCCGCGGCCATCCGCAGCGCAGGCGCGGTGGGAGGCCTCGCGTGCGCGCACCGCGGGTGGGCGCGTCGCGGGGGGGGGGGGGGGGGGGCTGCGGCGCCCCCTGGCGGCCGGCGCTGGCCCTCCCCTGGGTCCGCCCTGGGAGGAAAGCCACCCAGTGCCCCCAGCGGTGGCGGCTGGTCCCGAAAACCCGTCGCCATGGTTTCGCCTTAGGCTTTGAGCACTGCTCTCCGCGACCTTTGGTGCAAGTAATCTTCGCCTTCACGCAGCCCAGTTTAACGACAAGCGGAGGGGACAAGCAGCTATGACAGTACTTGCCTTGCATGTCCCAGGTTCGATCCCCGGGACCGTGCATGGAGTGATCCCTGAGCACAACCGGGTGTGGGCTAATAGATAATGAGGGGAGGGCAGGAGAAATACTCGAGCGGGTAAGGCACGTGCACGACACCCCATTTGGTCCCCGAACACCGCCAAGGGTGATCCCTGAGCATCGAGCCAAGTGTGAGCACCTCCGGGTGTGACCCACAGGGGAAAAAGAAAAAGGAAAGGGGAGACAAGTGATCCTTCTCTCTCCGTTCCATGCAAGATCATTCAGCGCCTCCTGCCCCCCAAAATGCAGGTTTCATATTGAGTATTTTCTCCCTTGTGCACGAGAGCACAGTCTCCAGAAATTGGCGAATGTTTAAAACTAGGTTTAGGGGCTGGAGACATAGCACAGCGGGTTGGGCGTTTGCCTTGCACATGGCTGACCCGGGTTCAATTCCCAGCATCCCATATGGTCCCCTGAGCACCGCAAGGAGCAATTCCTGAGTGCAGAGCCAGGAGTAACCCCTGTGCATCCCCAGGTGTGACCCAAAAAGCAAAAAAATAATAATAATAAAATTTAAATTTAGGTTTAAAGCAATCAGGCCAGGTGTACAAACAAACCTGAGTTTCAAAAGGAATTCAGACTTCAATAACTAGCATTCGAAGTTTCCACCTAGCCTTTGAACGCGGGTGTGTGTGTGTGTGTGTGTGTGTGTGTGTGTGTGTGTGTGCTGTTCCTATTGCAGAACTGTGTAGTTCAAAAAATTGGCGCTTGCCTTTGAGACTATGGAAAGATAAGTGAATTTCCCCCCTTTTTTTGAAGCCACACCTAACAGTGCTTAGGACTGACTTTTGGCACTGTGTTCAGGCTGGGCTGACTCTGGAGACCACATGTGGTGCCAGGTATCATGAAACCCAGGCTGCCCACATGCAACACAAGCACCGTACCTGCTGCACTATTGCTCTGGCCCATATTTTCTTTATTATTTTTAAAAGTATGTTTCACTGGGGGCTGGAGCAATAGCACAGCGGTTAGGGCATTTGCCTTGCACATGGCTGACCTGGGTTCGATTCCCAGCATCCCATATGGTCCCCTGAGCACCGCCAAGAGTAATTCCTGAGTGCATGAGCCAGGAGTAACCCCTGTGCATCGCCGGGTGTGACCCCCCCACCCAAAAAAAAATGTTTCACTTAGTCATTAATACCAGTTTTCAATTTTTGGCTTGGTTATATCTTAATTATTTTATAATACCATGTTTGGTGAAATTTCTTTTGCAATCCATCAATGGTTTCTTTGTGTGTATGTTGGGTGGGCGCTCCCAAGCCACTTCCTCTCAAGGAGCAGGGGCCAATCCTGGAGACTCTCAGCCTGTGGTTTGAGGGACCAAGGGCATTGTGCTGAGACTGCAATGTTGGGAACCACCTGGATCACCTCAGCAGTGTTCCAGAGCCACCAGGGCTACTCACTGTGATCCTTTTGGGGGCCATGTGATTCAGGGGATCCAGCCACAGCCAAGCACAGGAGAGGCATGCACCCATCCTCCAGTGCTATCTCCCTGATCCTCAATGATTTTCTGTTTTGCTTTTTTTTTCAGTTTTTAGTTTGGGGACCACAACAAGCAGTGCTCAGGGCTTACTCCTGGCTCTGTGCTTAGGGATCACTCATGGCAAGCTTGGGGGACTATATGCAGTGCTGGCGAGATTGAACACTGGTCAGCCACATACATGATAACATCCCTACCCACTGTACTATCTCTCCGGACCCCCAAAAAAATTTTGTTAAGAATTTCAATTTATGCCCAAGAACAGATGACTGGTTAAAGAAACTTTGGTACATCTACCCAATGGAGTACTATGTAGCTCTTAGAAAAGATGAAGTCATGAAATTTACATACAAGTGGTACAATATGGAAAGTATCATGCTAAGCGAAATGAATCAGAAAGAGAGGGATAGACATAGAAAGATTGCATTCATCTGGGGGATATAAAATAACAAAATATGAGATTAATACCCAAGAATAGCTGAGATCAACACCAGGAAGATTACTCCATAGCTTAGAGGCCAGCCGGGTATTCTAGGGGAAAGGACAGTTCAGATAGAGAAGGGAGCACCAAATGGAGGGTATTTGGAGGATCCTCCCAGGAGGGGAGATGCAGGTTGAAAGTAGACTGGACTGAACATGTTTGCCACTCAATGCCTCTTTTGCTGAACACAACACCCAAAAGGAGAGAGAGAACAAAAGGGAATGCCCTGCCACAGTGGCGGGGGGGATGGGGGGATGGGGGGAGGGATATTATCCTGGTGGTGGAAAATGGGCACTGGTGGAGGGATGGGTATTTGATCATGGTATGACCGAAATCCAAGCACAAAAATTTGTAAATCTACAACTGTACCTCATGGTGTTTCACTAATAAAAAAAAAAAAGAATTTCAATTTATGGAGCTAGAGCAATATCACAGCAGGTAGGGTGTTTGCCTTTTACCCTACCTCATGTCAGGCCAAACCGGGTTCGATTCCCAGCATCCCATATGGTCCCCCAAGCACTGCCAGGACTAATTCCTGAGTGCATGAGCCAGGAGTAACCCCTATGCATTGCTGGGTGTGATCCAAAAAGAAAAAAAAATTCAATTTAGAAAAAGAAAAAAGAATTTCAATTTTAAAAACAATGTTTCTCACTCAAATAAGAGAAAGAATCCAGAAATCCAACCTCTATCGATGGTCAAGAATCAGGGACACTGTCTCATTTGACAAGGCGTGAAAAATCAGATGGGCTGGACACGTAATGAGATTTGGAGACAACCCCTGAACTAGAGTCGTTACCTACTGAATTCCAGGGGACGTCAAAAGACTGCGTGGCCGCCCACCTACCAGATGGTCAGACTTCTTCATCAAGATCATGAATGATCAGTTTGAGGCTCTTCATGTTCCCAGAGCGAACAGATGCCATTGAGCTACACTAGCACGCAACAGGGACAAATGGAGATGTTACTGGCACCCGCTCGAGCAAATCGATGAGGAATGGGAAGTCAAGTGATCAAGTGATCAAGTTCTCTCATTGAACTCGTAGAGGAATCTAGACAATAATTGAAAAAAAAAGTTATATGGGGCCAGAGAGATAGTACAACAGGTAGGACATTTGCCTTGCATGCTGCTGACCTGGATTTGATCCCCAGCACACCTTAAGATCCTCTGAGACCAGCCAAGAGTGACCCTTGAGCACAGAGCCAGGGGTAAGCCCTGAGCACAACCAGGTGTAGCCCAAAAAACAAGAGTTATGGGTAAAAACTGGAAAAACCTGGGGAAATTGAGAAAGGCCAGGGGAAGGCACCAGTTGGCTCAACATTTATCACATGCACATGATAGCAACAAATACTGGGACATAGATGATAACTTCTATTTCTTTTTGGTGGGGCACAGGGGGCTCCCATATGACCTGGGGGCCCAGGTCATACTCCTTGAGATACTCAGCTAACTGGGCTGGGCTTCAATGCTAGGGGTCTGATTATTCAGTACTGCCTGGGCCCAGCATTGTCATGAAACCCTCCATACTCTAAAGCTTCCAGGGCTACACATGGGGTGCTCAAGGAACCATGTGGCACCCAGATCAGTATCTCCCTGGTACAAATGTTGCATCTTGATGTTCAATATTATGGTTCCATAATTATGAGCATCTTTTTTCATAGCCCCTATGTCAAGAAATTAAATCTCCCACTTGTAAATTCTCTCACTAAGCTCAAAATTATTAATGTAATCCCTTACATTTATTTAAGTTTTCTCACTGACTCCAATCTCCAGAATGCACTTGCTTACTGTTGGGACATGGTATTTCTAAAAATTGATGATGGAATAGTTCCATGCTCCTCAGAGCACAGATTCTCACAACCTTACCTCTCTCCTTCCCTCTCTCATGTTCTCTCTCTCTCCCCCCCCACCCCCCACTTTTTCAATTGGCTTTGGACCACACCTGGTTGTTCTTATGGGTTACTTCCAGCTCTGTGTTCAGGGGTACTCCCAGCAGTGCTAGGAGATCAGAATTGGTACCAGCATCCCTTGCCTTTTGCATTTATCTCTGCCCCTCTGGCTTTCATGGTTGGATAGACTAGTAATTTACTTGAATCTGCCTTGTCTTTATTTTGTGTTTTGGTCTTCGCATACACTTTGTCTTCCATTTGGCTTTCATAGCCCAAAGGCTTCCAGCATGGGACTGAGCCACAATCTTCTGAGTGCTGAACCACCAATGTGAACCAGTAATGATGCACTTGAGGGATAGAAGAGATAGTGGAGCAGGTAAGAAGCTTGTTCTCCGTGCAGCTGACCAGGATTTAACCCCTGGCATCCCCTGAGCACAGCCAGAAGTAATTCCTGAGTGCAGGGCCAAGATTATCACCAGGTGGATGACCCAAAAACAAACAAACAACAACAAAACCAAAAGCACTTCTGAGGAGGTATGGAAGTGTTAAAGAATTCAATGTGCAGAAATCTAAGCAGAGTGAGCTTGATGAGTTATAGAAACTCCAATATTTCCATGCTATTAAGGGATAAAAAATAAAAAGAAAAGCAGAATCTTAAGTAAGAACCTTAAGGAGCCTAGGAGTTACTACACTGTGCTTGGTACTGGATAATCTGGTCAATATAAGGAATAATACACACAAGTTCTCCTTCCTAATGTGGCATTAAATTTAATGGAATAGATACTGTTATTGCATTACCACAAAGCTGAGGATGCGGCAGTGAACAGAACAGACACAAATCCTCACATTCACACAGCCGATGTTCTCATGTCAGACAATAAGTAAATGAATAACATTAATTGCAAGGAAGGAAATAAGTATGGTAATAAACAGAAGAGCTCTGTCTAATCAAACATTCTATGATGATGAAAATATTTTATGTTTTAACTGTCCCAAATGGTAACCACAGATACATATGAACCCTTGAAATGTGTTTATTACAACTGGAACTAATATTTTTTTTGTTTTCTGGAGGAGCGGGAGAGGGTTGTGTGTAGGCTACATTCAGCTGTGTGCAAGGTTACTCCTGCCTTACTCTGTGCTTAAGGATCACTGCTTGCCAACTTGGGGACCTCAAGGATCACTGTTTGCCAAATGTGGTGCCAAGGATCAAATTGGGTCAGACGTGTTTAAGGCAAGCACCTTACCTTCTGTACCATTTCTCTGTGCCCTGGAAATTATTTATTTTTTTTATTATTGGTTTAGGGGCCACAGATAATGATATTCAAGGCTTACTCTTAGCTCTACACTCACAAATTACTCCTGGTATTTGGGAGACCGTATTGGGGCTCTGGGGATCAAACCTGGGCTGGCTGAGTGTAAGGCAAATGCCCTACATGTTGTACTATATCTCCAGCCTCCTATACTTTATTATTTTATCTAATTTTAATTTGAATAGAATTTTTAAAGCCACATTCAAGCTGTTGTTGTTGTTGTTATTGATTTTGGGGAAGCCTCATCCAGCTCTGTGCTCAGTGATTACTTTCAGCAGGCTTGAGGGACCTTATGGGGTTCCAGGGATCAAACCCAGGTCAGCTGTATGTGAATCAAGTGTTTTACCCCCATATGGCATTTCTCTGATCCTCAAGCATTGTTTTTGATCTATAATGAATTATTAATAACTGTCATGATGGATTTTGTGTTTTCTTTAAAACTCTGAACTTGGATTGGTTCTTCACTTCTATAGAGGTTTTCAATTCCTCCCAGGTCTATACATCTCTTTTCACATCAAAAGCAAACTTATTCCCTACAAAGGTCTGGTTGATCATTTTAGATCTCAAGCACACCATGGACAAGTTAAATAATATGGTAACTGACATAAATAGCCACCTCAGAACCATCTGTACGCCAGGAGATTATTGGTAACTACTGAGATGTCAAGGTAATATATATTGACAAGAGAGCATACTGATTTCTATTCTAGTCTTACTAAATTGTGATTCATGGACCACAGGTTTATTTGTGAGCTGAAGACTTGTTAGAAATGCAGAGTTTCAAGTTTCTGCAACTGAATCAGAGTTTTTCATGACAGGGCTGAAGCAATAGTATAGTGGGTAGGGGGCTTGCCTTGTACGTGGCTGGCCCATGTATGTCCCCCATTACTCTTGTGGTTGCCTGAGCTCAACAGAAGTGATCCCTGGGCACAGAGCCAAGAGTAAACTGAGCTATGCCTAGGTGTGCCCCGAAACAAAAAGATTCATTCATTTCCATTTTCTCCCTATGCATCGTTAAGCTTGCTGAGAATTGCCTTACCAACATCCAAAATTTTGATGGCCAGGTATGAAGTCCATGCTAGAGATGCAAATTAAAGCCATGATGTGGCAGGAGATTGGGTTAAAGAAGAAAGTACATATAAGGAAACTGTACTTAGTAGAAAGTCTTAAACACCTCTGTAAGTACTGGATTAGTCAGGAGTAAGGCAGCTAGGGAGACCTCGAAAGACTAGTGAGCTGGAATAAAACCGTGAGTCCTGGGATGTAACTCAGTGGTAATATATATAACTTGCATGTGCCAGGCTCTGTTTTCGATACCTGACTCCACAAAGAAAAAAAATAATGTGTGGTTGGCTTTCTGGAAGCCAGGAGAGGAGGGAGGGGAATTTTGTGTTTCAAGGTTGCTGAAATGTTGACTATGATGTAGAAACTTATCTCAGGAATTTTTAATGACTGCTAGAAAAATTCATTTCAGTGGAGTGGTTTGAAGAGGTAATTGGAAGAAATTATTTCTTAGAAAGTAATCTGGAATTACAGCTCTGTTTGTGAAGAACTGTAAGATAAATTTGCATATAATGAGGGACTGGAGAGATAGAACAATGAGTAGGGCACTTGCCTTGCATATGACCAACCTGGGTTTGATTCCTGGCATCCCATAAGGTCCCCATGCCTGCCAGGAGTGATCTCTGAGCACAGAGACAGGAATAAGCCTTGAGCACTGCCAGATGTGTCCCCAAAATACACACACAGTAAAGGTAAAGGTAAAGGCCCTCCCGTTGATCGTCGATTTGCTCGAGCGGGCCCAGTAACGTCTCCATTGGAGACTTTGTTGTTACTGTGTCTGGCATATCGAATACTCTCGGTAGCTTGCCGGGCTCTCCGAGAGGGGCGGAGGAATCGAACTCGGGTCGGCCGTGTTGGCCGCTTGTAAGGCGAACGCCCTACCCGCTGTGCTATCGCTCCAGCCCACACACAGTATATAATGAAAAAAATTATTGTAGTAGAAAAGTTTGGGTTTTATTTTTGTTTGTTTGTTTGGGAGTCACACCCTGCAATGTTCAGGAACTACTCTGTTTTGCTGGGCCTATTGCCGGAAACTGAGCACCTTGAACAATCTCCCAGGACCCTAGGAAGGGAAACATTTTCATGATTCAGATTGGAGGGAGCTTCCTGAAGTAGTGAAAAATCTCTTTTCATGTGTGCATGATGGGAATCAAGCGCTCACACATGCAAGGAGAGTGCTAGGCCACTGATCCACATCCCTAGACTCAGGAGTGAAATTCTTGAGAAAAAGAATGAATAGGAAAAACAACGCATAGAACTTTGGCTTGAAAGGGGCAACAATATTTCCAACCTGGCAACAAGGAAGGTAGGTCTTTTATTCTTTCAGAGGATGAAACATTACCTGAGAGTAATTTGAGAGAGCAACTATAAAATATTTGTGAGTAAAGTTAAGATTATTATCTCATTCTTACTTTGGACAACCTGGCAGGCTACCGAATGTAACCTGCCCACACGGCAGAGTCTGGCAAACTCCCCGTGGCATACCCAATATGTCAAATACCAGTAACAGTGATGGGTCTCATTCTCCTAACCCTGAAAGAGCCTTGAATAGGGCATATTTAAAAAAAAAATCTCAGGGCTAGGACAAAGGAGACGTTACTGGGGCCTGCTCGAGGCAATCGACGAACAACAGGATGGTCGCGATCGTCGTGATCAAGTAAAGAAAGTTATGAAATAGCTTGTGAGTTTATTAGTTGAACACAATTATGACTTCTGGGCAGTGTAGGGTTCCTATTTCTATTCTTTTACTTTCTTTTTTTATTTAAAAATAGTTTCTTTTTGGGGCTGGAGCGATAGCACAGTGGGTAGGGCGTTTGCCTTGCACGCAGCCAACACGGCTGACACAGGTTCGATTCCCAGCATCCCCGAGCACCGCCAGGAGCAATTCCTGAGTACAGGAGCCAGGAGTAACCCCTGAGCATCGCCAGGTGTGACCCAAAAAGCAAAAAAAAAATAGTTTCTTTTTGGGTCATGCCTGGTGATGCTCAGAGTTATTCCTACCTCTGCACTTCTGGCGGTTCTCAAAGGACCATATAGGATGCTGAGGATCAAATCTGTGTCAGTCTCATGCAAGGCAAACTCTTTATCAGCTGTACTATCACCCCGGTCAGGGTTCCTATTTATGATCAGAATCTAAAGTGAAAATAAGCAGATAAAGTGTGTGGTTTTCTAATGTCTCCTATATAGAGAGGCTGGGAGTGCTGGGGTGGGGTGTTGGGGGATAGTAGGAGAGAAACAGGGACCATAGGTGGTGGGAAATGTACACTGGTGGTGGGGTGGGTGCTGGGTCATTGTATGACTGAAACCCAATTATAAACACTCTTTGTAATGGTCTATCTTATGGATATTCAATTAAAAAGATTAAAAAAATAAGTATTGTGGAGTTCATGCCCAATTCAATCAGCTTAACCAATGGCTGAATAAATAGCAGAACTTCTACCTTTAAAAAAAAAAGGCGTGTGGTTTCCTCAGGTATTTTAAATAATGCTAAAAATTCTCCTTGTTGGAGCCTAAGTATCATAATCTTCTGAGTTCTTTTCAAAACTCCTCTTCGTCTACAAATAGTTTTGGCTCTGCATAATACACAATGTCCTGCAGTGCAGAAATACTCTGGTCACAGATTCACTTTACTGGATTTATGTCTTCAAAACCAACAGCAAGAAAGTAGATAAAGGACCAAACATGATGGCCTTTCAGTATCTGTATTGCAAACCATAATGCCCCAAAGTGGAGAGAGTAAGAGGAAAATTGTCTACCATAGAGGCAGGGGAGGGGGAGGGGGAGGATGGGGGGGTGGTATACTGGGGACGTTGGCAGAGGAAAATGTACACTGGTGGCGGAATGGGTGTTTGAACATTATATGACTGAAATTCAAACATGAAAACTTTGGGGCTGGAAGAATAGCACAGTGGGTAGGGCATTTGCCTTGCATGTGGCCAACCCAGCTTCAATTTCCAGCATCCCATATGGTGCCCCCAAGCACCGTCAGGAGTAATTCTTTAGTGCAGAGCCAGGAGTAACCCCTGTGCATCGCAGGGCGACCTCCCCCCCCCCAAAAAAAAAAAGAAAAGATGAAAGCTTTGTAACTATATCTCAGGGTGAAAAAAAAAAAAACCCTCCAGCAAGAAATATCCTCATACACCCGCCTGAAAATCACACCCCCAGCCGCCAGGGGCCGCGCCGGCCCGTGGTCAGAACCGGAAGTGAAGCTGGCCTCGCTCGCCTCTCGGTGTTTCCGCTGGCCTCCGCCGCGCTCCGCGCGCTCTTTACGTCTGATCCCAGGGAGGCGGCGTTTCCGGCCATTCATCCTCCCTGCCCGCCGGTCCCCGCTTGCTGGCCTCGGAGCGCTAGAGGACCGAAAGGGCCACGGCGCCGCTACCATGAAGCTCGTGAGGTGAGGAGGCGGCTTTGGAGGGCCCCGCGGGGCCGGGGAGGGAGGCTCCTGGCGCGGGCGGGAGGCCGGGCGGGCGCGGGAGGCCGGAGCCGCGTGCGCGCGGCCTGCTAACCGCCCCCGGCGCCCGCTCGCGCCCATCTTGGCCGCGCCGCTGCCGGAGCCCGCCCTCCCGGCTCCCTCGTCGCCCACTGCGGTTCCGGGGCGGAGAAGGGCCCCGGTCTGGGCACGCGCTCCGGAGCTGCCCTGTGCACTAGGCGCGCTTCAAGGGACGCAGCTTTCACTGCGCAGCCGACGTTGCAGTTAAAGCCGGTTTCATCTGGCAATAGTGGAACTCGTTTCCCGCCTGTTTCCCATCGGGAGTGGACTAACGACGTCGAACGGGCGCATTTGCCCCAAACCCAGTACTTCTGGACTCCCTAGGCTTAAGGTTATCGGACCTGTGTTTCCTGTTTGAGTCGAGTTAGGAAATAGCACGGAGTGGTCCCCGGCACCCCGTTTGTGGACGGCTGCACGGGTGATTGACGTCTCTCCTTCCCCGCCCCCGCCGCCGCTTGCACCGGGTCGGTCCTGGAGCCTGCTGGAAACTTAGTTGGCTGGGACAGCGGTCACTGACCAACCCGTAGTTCTGGGTTTCTGTCTTGTCGGTTTCCGTTCAGTGAGGGCTGACCCGGACATCCATTTCTAGCGTGTTTGCAATCATGCCCAAGGAAGGGTTTGCAAAGAAGGCACTTTAGGTGAACGTGCTTGCCGTTACTTGAAACGCATCTTTAGACGAAAACGCGCATCGACAGGGCGGTTTTGCAAGTTCTCGCCATCTGTCATTTTGGAGCTATTTCTGGTTAAGTTTTATGTATGCTCTTTTAAGTTTGTACCATTTATTTCCATTTATTCAAGTGGGAGGACACACCCGCAGTGCCCAGGCCTGACCGGGCTCAAGGGGCCGTTTGGGGTGCTGGGAATAGAAACATCTTACCCATTGTGCTGTATCTCTCTGGCCTGTTTGATTTTACCTCTTCATCCTGGTTAGATAGATTGCCAGCTTTTGACCATTTTTTTCCCCCCACCCGAAGGAAGTATTGCACTATCAAATGCTCCTTGTTTGGGTACTGAAGGATATGTTATCTGAATATTTGGATACCTAAATTTCAGTAAGAATTCGGGTAGTAAAAGGTTCATCAGAAAATAATTGAATCTGTGTAGTTCCTAAGCTCTGGTAACGTTTCTCCCCGCAATTGACAATTACCGTTCTGTCTTATTGGAAGTAGATGTTCAGCCCCTTGCTTTAATTTTTTTTTCCCACCTACTGAAGTAGCTTATCTCAAAGTAGAAGCAGTTTGGTGGAGAAATTTAGACATTCCTATTACCCAAACATGTGAAATACTATCAAGACCTCAGAAAATTCTAACAAGCCCTTCTCAGTTCTTGGACAAAGGCATGCCACCTCTTCCTAATGAAATTTCATTTTGATTGTGTTGGATTTTGAGGGGAGCAGGGCCCCTCCCCCACCCAAACCACTGAGAGGGATGCTCAGGACCTAGTTCTGGCTCTGCTCAGGGATCTCCTGGTGAGGATTAAACCTGGGTCTGCTGCTGCAAGGCAAGCAAGCACTTTCCTGTTCTCTAACACCCACACTCCCCCACCCCCGATTTGTTCATTTTCTCTAACTTTCAAGATCACTTGATCACTTGACATCCCCTTACTCATCGATTTGCTCTAGTGAGCGCCAGTAACGTCTCCATTCATCCCTGTCGCATGCTAGTGTAGCCCAATGGCGCCTGCTCGTACTAGGACCATGAAGAGCCTAACTTTTAAGACGTTTCGTTTATTTTTGATTTGGGGCTACACCCTGAAGTGCTCTGGGTTTACTCCTTGGCTCTGTGCTCAGGAATCACTGAACCTGGCACAGTTGTTAACTGTGTCGTTGTTAATTGTTAACTGTAGTCTTGTTACATTCCTAACAATTGATTTTTTATAAATGATAGTTTCTATTACTGTTCCTTTGTAAATGTTTAGGATTTTCTTGAAGGAGAGTTGAGCTTATTGTGTAGATTTTCAGTAGGAATTTACATAGATATCATTGGTAGAAGGTTTATGCCATCTGTCATCCTCTTGAGTTGGAATTTTTTGAATGTTAAAAGGTGAAAATGTTATTCCTGTTTCTAGATTTTTGATGAAGTTGAGTCATGAAACTGTAACCATCGAGTTAAAGAATGGAACTCAGGTTCATGGAACGATTACAGGTATGGAGTTTGAGATAACTTTTATAACACCTTTTAAATTAAAAAGAATGTGGTGGACCTCACCTCAGCAGTACTGTTGTGAAGTACCATGTAATGCTAGGGATCAAACCCAGGACCTCATACATGCAAGGCACACCCTCTAGCACTTGTGCAACATCCCTGTTTCCTAAAAATGCCTATTTTCTTTTTCTTTTTTTTTGGGGGGGGGGGAAGAGGGCTCCCAGTCCCTGTCTGGAGGCCCCTCCCAACAAGTTTTTAGCTAAACAAGGTTTACAGTTAAATGTGAGTACCGAGAATTCAGTACTGGAGCCTCCAGAGAAACACCAGGTGATGCTTGGAGAACCATGTGGTACCAGGGATTGAACCCGGATTGGCTATGTGTAAGGGATGAGCCACAATCTCAATTCTATCTCTCTAGTTCCTTGAACATCTTTTATTTTTGTTTTTGGGTCACACCTACTAAAGTTCAGGGCTTACCTCTGCCTCAGTCTGTGCTCAGGAATCATTCCTGGCAGGCTCAGGAGCCATATGCGGTGCCAAGAATTTAACCTGGGTTATCCGAATGCAAGGCAAGTACCCTACTCATTGGACTATATCTCTCCAGCTCCTAGAACATCCTTTTTTGATTGGTTTTTGGGCTATACCTAACAGTGCTCAGGGTTTATTTCTTGTGTGCAGGGATCTCCCCTGGTGGGGAGTAGGGGACCATATGTACAAGATAAGCACCCTACATGTTCTTCCTCTCTGGCCCCTGGAATATTTTCTTGCCATTTTATGTGTCTCTTTCAGTGACAACTACGTTTGGGTGTTTTGTAGGGTTGGTTTGGTTTTTTTTGGGGGGGGGGGTTGTTTGTTTTTGTATTTGGGGACCACAGACCACAGCTGGATGCTCAGACCTCACTCTTGGCTTTGTGCTCAGGTGTTCATACCTGATGAGTTCAGAGGAGCACTTGGTGTGCTGGGGATCAAACCTGGGTTAGCCACATGCGAGGCAAGTTGTAATATTTTCTGGCTCCTTGTATGGTTTGTTTTATATTTAAGGTTACTAGTCCTTGACTGATATAGCTGTTCCCTTCCTAAATTACAGAATTGCTATAAATTTAACTAGCCAACAGATAGAAAATGCTGTGTTATCATCTGATTCCTTGCTGAGATATTTATTTTTGAGTTTGGGTCCTTACTTGATGGTGATCCTCCCAGCTCAGTACTCCAGGGTCACTCTTGCTAGTGCTCTTGATGTATAAGTGCTGAGGCCAGATCTTGGCCTCCTGCAGTGCAAAACATACACTCAGCCTGTTAGTTTTTTTCTTTAACCCCGTCTCAGAAATACTTAATCTTGGTTGTGGTTTTGTGTGTGTGTGTGTGTGTGTGTGTGTGTTGTTTGTTTTTTGTTGTTTTTTTTTTTCTTTTTGGTGGGGGGGTGTCACACCCAGCAATGCTCAGGGGTTATGGGGGACCATATGGATTGCCGGGAATTGAACTCTTAAACTCAGGTTGCCTGTGTGCAAGGCAAATACCCTCCCCGCTGTACTATTGCTCCAGCCCCAAACTTGGTTTTATTTTAAGTAAAATGAAAATTTTTTATAAAAAATATTTATGGGGGCTGGAGAGATAGCACAGCAGATAGGGCGTTTGCCTTGCACGCAGCCGACCCAGGTTCGATTCCCAGCGTCCCATATGGTCCCCTGAGCACCGCCAGGGTTGATTCCTGAGTGCAGAGCCAGGAGTAACCCCTGTGCATCCCCGGGTGTGATCCAGAAAGCAAAAAAAATATATATATGAACAAATTTGTTAAATTGCAAATAATATTTTAATTATAATAAGCTTTCAAATATTTCAAATTTTGTGGCTTGGGTAGTTAAAAATAGTGTTAAAGAGTTAAAGATTACAGTATTGATATAAAAATTGCCACAGCCAACCACCACTAAAGTGGCCCAGATGGTCTACCACTCTCCGGTTACCTCTAGACTGGTCCTTTTCCCCCCCTTCCCTCAGTCTTTGGTAGCTTAGTTTTGTGTTTTGTATTATGTTATGGTTTGTCGCTGTTCAATACATCTATTCTCTTGTTTGTCTCAGAGTCTCCTAATAGCCAAAGCAATTCTAAAAAAATAGAAGATATTGCATTTTCTGGCTTTAAAATTAGACTATAAAGCTATAGTAATCAAAACTGCAGAACTAAGATAAACTCTCAAGTTACTGGAATAGAATTAAGAACCCTAAGATAACCCTCAGATTTCTGGACAATTCATCTATGAAAAGGGTGCTGAGTATGTGAAGTAGAGCAGGAAAAGCCTCTGCAAAATATTATTGGTATGAGTGAGATAGCTATACAGTGGGTGAGGTGTATCTGAAGTATGTGGCTGATCCCGATTCAATCCCTGGCACCCCGTCTGGTTCCCTGAACTGCACCCAAGAGTGACCCCTGAGCTCAGAGCTAGAAGTAGGGCCTTAGTGCTGTAGGGTTTGCATCCCCACCCTGTGCTGTTGGGAAAACTGGATATGTTTGGGGAGGGGGGGCACAAACTATTTCACTCCACAAAAGTTAACTCTTAAGTGGATTAAACGTTAAAAAAAAATTAATGTGCAGGAACCAGAGAGATAGTACCCGGATTTTGTTTCTTGGTACGCGACTGACATAGGTTCAATCCCTGCCACTTGGTTCCCTGAGCATAGGTGGGTGCGGCCATACCAGCTTGTCTGAGAAATCCAAGAGAAAACTACTGTTGAACTAATGTTATTTGTGAATATAGACAAATAGCAACTGAAGTGGAAGAATATCAGTATAGTGTAAAATTTGGTATTGTCATAAAATTCTGCGCGCAGACCAGGGATATGAGAAAAGTAGTAGTGTACATGCCTAGCATCTGCATGACCCTGAATTTGATACCTGACATCACTTGGTTTTCTAAAACACTTCCCATTAGGACCCTGAGAAAAAGTTGTTGGAGGTAGCCAATTTAAAAGCAGCAGCTTGGGGACAGCGGTAGTACAGTGGGTTGGGTGTTTGCCTTGCTCATGGCCAACCTGGGTTCAATCCCTGGCATCCTATCTGCTTCTCCAAGCACCGCCAGTAGTAATCTTGAGCGTCACCAGGTCTGATCCAAAAAGTCAAAAAAAAAAATCTAAAAATATTTTTTTAAAGGGTGCAGCTTGGGTACATCAGATAGGGTACTTGCCTGGCATGTGGGCCGATCAAGACTCAGTCCCTATTTGCCCTATATTCACCAGAGTCCTCTTGATATAAGCCATGAGCAATTAGCCAGGAGTAAGCCCTGAGTTCCCCCTGCTGTGGCCTAGAAACAATGACTTGATCAAAGTACTAAGCAAAGCAGTAATACTTTGGACAGGGCTTTGGGTCACTCTCACTCTACTGTGGGTCCTTCCCAGTAGTGTTCAGGGAACAATGTGTGGAGCTTGGCTGCATCTAAGGCAAGTGTCAACAATATACTATCTCTGCCCAAAAAATTTGTTTTGTTTTGAGGGCCGCATCCAGCGTGTTTAAGGTTTACTACTGGCAGTGCTCAGGGTACCATATAGGTTCGGTGATCTAACCTGGGTCGACCACATACAAGGCAAGTGCTGTAAGAGCTGTACTAATACTCCAGCCCTGCCCAGTTTTTTTAAGCACAGTTTAAAATGCCTGTGAAGGGTTAAAATGCTTGCCTTTCCTCCCTCATTTGAATCCAAGACCCTGCAGTATGGTTTCTTAAGCACTCCAAGAGCTCATTTCTGAGCACAAAATCCAGGAAGAGCCTGTGTTACCTCCCTCCTCTATTCACACCCCTCCAAAAAAAAAATAATCAATGTTTAAATTTTTAATAATAGACACCATTGAAATAGTTCAGGAGCTCAGACTCTTTCCTTGCATGTAGCCGACCTGTTTGAATAGACACTATTTAAATATTATAGAAGCTCAGACTCTTTCCTTGCATGTAGCTGACCTGTTTGATGCTCTCCTCAGTATAGATTGGCATAGCCCCTTAAAATACTTTTTCTTGAAAAATAAAAAAAGTACATAGGATGAGACTGGAGAGAGAGTGCAGTGGGTAGTGCGCTTCCCTTGCATGCGTTCAACCCAGGTTTGATACCTGGAAGCCCATAAGATTCCTTGAGCACAACCAGCAGTAATTCCTGAGTGCAGAGGTAGGAGTAGCCCCTGAGCATCACTGAGTGTGGCCCGAAAACCAAAGCAAAAGTACACAGGATTATAATTTTTGTATAGAATGGTATTTTTAAAAAAAAACAGTTTGGGGGGGCCACACCTTGCTGTGCTGGGGGCTTACTCTCCTGGCTCTGTGCTCAGTAATCGTCCAGTCCCAATTTACTCCCCAGTACTTCATGGTTTCCTGAGCTCCACTAGGTGTGACTCCTAACTCCCTCCCCAAAGGGGACAAAAGGATAGCTTGGTGAAGCGGTATAATAAGTGTACTGGAATGCAGGGGGTTTTTTGTTTGTTTTTTGCTTTTTGGGTCACACCTGGCAATGCACAGGGGCTGCTCCTGGCTTTGCACTCAGGAATTACTCCTAGCAATGCTCTGGGGACCATATGGGATGCTGGGGATCGATCCCGGATTGGCCCCGTCCTACCCACTGTGCTATTGCTCCAGCCCTGGAGTGCAGGCTTTACATGCAGAGTCTTGGGTTTGATCCTTGGTACACATGTTCCCCTGAGCACTGAGTCTGGAGTAGTCTCCGACCGAGTACTGTCAGATATGGCCCAAAAATCAGAGTTTTTTTTTTTTTTAAGTGATATGATGGGAAAATACAGACAATAAGCTATGTGGTCTGGACATTGGAATGGAGGCCTGTGTGTGCCGGTTCCTCTGGCTCACTGCATTCACACACCTAATTGCAAGGGAAGACTTCTGAGACTTTCTTAGTCCTTACTTTCTAATAATTACTGCTTTCTTCTCTACAGGTGTAGATGTCAGCATGAATACGCATCTTAAGGCTGTGAAAATGACCCTGAAGAACAGAGAACCTGTACAGCTAGAAACACTGAGTATTCGAGGAAATAACATTCGATACTTTATTCTGCCAGACAGCTTACCTCTGGATACACTACTTGTGGATGTTGAACCCAAGGTGAAATCTAAGAAGAGGGAAGCTGGTAAGTTTGATGGGTACAGCTTCTGTTTAAATAGGTGTGATTTGGGACCATTTGGGGTGCCAGGGATCAAACCCAGGTCTGCACATGAAAGGCAGGTACCCGGCCCATTGTATTTCTTTTGGGGCCCCACACAGCATGCTCAGGGGTTACTCCTGGTTGTGCATTCAGGAATCACCTGGTAATGCTCAGGAGACCCTATTGGATTCTGCAGATCAAACCTGGGTTGGCTGCGTGCAAGGCAAGTGCTCTACTTGCTGAACTATCACTCTGGTCCCTCTATGCTTAATCTTTAACGTGTGTGTGTGTGTGTGTGTGTGTGTGTGTGTGTGTGTGTGTAAGGAACTTTTCTGGGTTTTTTCCCCCCCTCCAGTCCATATCCATTGGTTCTTAGGGCTTTCTCCTGACTCGGCATCAATCCTGATAGTGCTTGAGGGATCATATGTCGGATGCCAGGCATCAAAATCTGGGGTCAATTGTGTATAAGACCAGCATCTTACAGCCTCTCTGGCCTGTCCTTTTTGTTCTGGCCCTTTTTGTTGATTTAACAATCTTATGTTTTGATTATTGGGTGGCGGGGTATGTGTGTCTGTGTCTCTGTGTCTGTGTGTCGGGGCCCTAACAAGTTCTGGGAAGAAAGGAGGGTAGGCTCTGTAGTGATGGGTCCTATTATATAGGTTGTTTGAAAACTGAGTTGACTAGGGCTAGATTTCATTTCAATCCATTTTTTTTCTAGTCTTATTACTGAAATCAGTGAAGTCTAGTCCTGTGGAATATGACTGATTTAAACTCCACTCGTAATTTAATATTTTTAACTGTCTCAAGATTTAAATTCATACGGGAGATAAGTGCTATGTCATTTGGGTAGCCAAATAGTTAGAATAACCAAGAAACAGTCACATTTAAAAATAGACTGTATTCAAAGCTGTCACTTTAATTGAATCAAATGGCTTACAGGTCTGAAGAAGAATGCAGTTGCAAGAATTTAGATTTTCTTGGCTTTGTTTTTTGTTAGTTATGGTTTTGGTTTTTGGGGGCCATACCTGTTGTGTTCAGGGCTTACTCCTTATTCTGCTCAGGGATCTCTCCTGGTAGGGTTTGGGTACCTCATGAGGTGCTGGGTAACAGAGTCAGTCAGCTGAGTGCAAGACACGTGCCTGCTGTCTGTGCTATCTCACTGTACTCTCTCTCTGACTTTACATTGCTTGGATTCTATTCATGAACTGCATGTCATGTGTTCATTGATGTCGTGTTCATTGATATTTTCTGGGATGGAGAGTGTTCATTACTGTTTTGTATCATTTGTATTTCATTTAGTGGTGGATTTGGGACATAGAAGACTTTAATTTTTTTTTCTTTTTGGGTTACACCCAGCGATGCGCAGGGGCTGTTCCGGGCTCTGTGCTCAGGTATTACTCCTGGCAGTGCTCAGGGGACCATATGGAATGCTGGGGATCGAACCCGGGTTTACCATGTGCAAGGCAAACACCCTACCCACTGTGCTATAGCTCTGGCCCCCCAATTTTTTTTTAATTTTAAAAATTTAAAAGCTGTTTTAGCTCATTCTAGTCGTGTTTGATGGTAACTCCTGGCATATTTGGAGGACCATTTGGTGCCAGGGATCAAACCTAGGCCTCCCATGTGCAAAGCATCTTATGTGCTTAGTGCAGCAGGTGGGGCATTTGTTTTGTATGTAGTGGTCCTCAAAACCATAAGCTCTCCTGAGTACCTCTTGGGAGTAGCCCTCAGCACCACAAGTATTCCTCTCCCCCGCTCCCCCAAAATGGTGAATTTGACAGTAAATTCACATAAAACCAAGTCTTTATCTTTGGTCCAGCAGTTTTTGTTTGGTTTGGTTTTGGGTCCACATCTGGTTATGCTCAGGGGACCATATGGTTGCCGGGGATCAAACCCAGGATGGCTTTGTGCAAGACAAGTGTCTTGCTGTACTATCTGTACTGCTGTACTATCACCCCTTCCCTAGTCCAGCAGTCTTTTCTTATATAATATGTGTTGGGAGCAGTTAGTCTGAAGAAACAGAATTTAAAGTTTCTTTGCTGTGGGTGCTATTTGTGGCAAATTAACAGTATAGAGAACTTATCTTGCTTTGTTTCTTTTTCAGTTGCAGGAAGAGGTCGTGGCCGAGGAAGAGGAAGAGGGCGTGGCCGGGGCAGAGGAAGAGGGGGTCCTAGGCGATAATGTCTCTCAAAATTATTGCTCCAAAGTGATATGTGATTTGGGATATTTTTTTTGTACAGGTTTTGTGTGTTTATGTCAGTTTTTAATAAACATAAGTGTGGGGAAAATTGTCTATTGGCTATCAAATTGAGTCTTGGTAGTTCATAAAGAGTCCTGGTATTAGCCTAGGAAGAGCTAAGCAGCCTCCGAATAAAGGGTGTGTGTGTGTGTGTGTGTGTGTGTGTGTGTGTGCGCGCGCGCGCACGCGCACTCGGGGGAATTACTCCTGGCGGTGTTTGGGAGACCATATGGGTGGAATGCCAGGGATCAAACCCTGTTAGGCTGTGTGAAGGTGTATTATCTCTCACCCCAGAATAACTCAATTCTTAGGTCAAGCTTTTAGGTTTGGTTTTGTTGTAACTAAAAATTTTTCTTTTTGGGGCTGGAATAGTACAGTGGGGAGGGCTTTTGCCTTGCACACATCCAACTTGGGTTTGATCTCGCCAGATGTGACTCAAAAAATCAAAAAAGTTTTGGTTGTGTGTGCATATATAGAGAGAATATATACCTTTTTATCTCACATGCACAAAAATTGGGTGTTTTGGTTTGGTTTCAGGGTCACACCCAACTCAGGGGTTACTCCTGGGTCAGCACTGAGGAATTACTCCTGGCAGTGCTCAGGGGACCATATGGGATGCTGGGGATTGAACCCTGGTTTGCCAGATGAAGACAAACACCCTATCCGCTGGCTGTACTATTGCTCCAGCTCCAAAATTGTGTTTTATTTTTACTCCATTCTATGGAGCAGATGAAATGAGTACTATTTGATACTTCAGTTACTAAAGGCCTATGGAGATTTTTCTCCTGGGTTTTGGTCCATGAAGTCTTAGGTACTTGGTGAAATGTAACTGTCACCTTTTTTTAATTGGTTTTTTATTTCGTCACAGTGAAATTGCAAAGTTAAATCTAACTGGGTTTCAATACCAATCCCTTCACCAGTGTCCACTTCCCTCCACCAAGTGGTTATTACCTTCTAAGTTGCTTTTCATATCTTCTAAGTTGCTTTTCATGCTTTTTGGTTTTTTGTTAAGTAGGATCTCAATGGAACACTTTTATAGTCTCCTGATTTAAAACACTTTGAAAGACCACCAGATTTTCCCATGTGAGCAGTACTGATGCCTGTTAATAAGGATGTGCTTGTCAGTGGTTCTGTTACCAAATACTTTCACAAAGAACACTTAAAAACGGAAGGAAAAAGTAGAACAGTGAGCTCAAAGGGTTAGAGCACATGCCTACTTGGGTCCCAAGTACTTCATGGTCTCAAAGACTGTTGAAATCAAAAACAAAGTAGTCCAGAGCAGGTACAGTGGGTAGGGAGCTTTCCGTGCTTGTCACAGACTAAGGTTCTGTCCCCAGCACCCCACATGGTCCCCTGAGCCCTCTAGGAGTGATCTACTTCCGCCCCCCCCAAAAAAAAACTATATAAAGGATAAAAGATTTATTTTAATCAACAGCAAAAATGGTAGTCTTACCCATTGTTAACAAGCTTGGTTTGGTTTTAGTTTGGGAACCACACCACCACTGCTCAAGACATACTCTTGACTGAGCTCAAGACCGTGGGGTGCTGGAAATTAAGCTCCGGTCTGTCACTTACAAGACTAGTGCCCCCACCTGTTACACTATCTCCAGCCTTTGGTGATGCGTTTTTAAATTACTTTGATGACGGGAGAAGTGAATTTGCATTTTGATCTAATCATACACATGGGTTTATTTTTTATTTTATTTTATTTTATTTTTTTTGCTGTTTGGATCACACCTTGCGACGCACAGGGGTTACTCCTGGCTCTGCACTCAGAAATTAGTCCTGGTAGTGCTCAGGGAACCATATGGGATGCTGGGAATTAAACCTGGGTCGGCAGCAATTTGCATTGCAAAGCAAATGCCCTACATGCTGTGCTATTGCTCCAGCCCCGCACATGAGTTTTATTACATATTTTAATAAAATTTACCCCCCAATAAGAAAATATTTTTTGTAAAAATGTAACCTGAAAAAGACTCAAGGGTTATATAAGTCCATAACAGCATGATTATTTTTGTGGCATATGCGTGTCACTGCATCTCTTCTGTGATCTGTTCTAGTGAGCTCAGGAAAGCGAGGAAGCCCAAGAGGAGATTTTAAGCAGGCAAACCAGAAAGACTTGCAATAGTAGTGAATAATCATAAATTGACTTCTGTCTTCATGGAACTTACAGAATAAAAGGGAAGCTGAGTTAAATAAACTTCATACTGTGTGTTCTCTGAAGATACAGTGTTTTATGTTGGATTTCAAGGCTGCATATTGGCAGATTGATTTATTATTTATTTTTTGCTTTTTTGGGGGGGTCACACCCGGTGATGCACAGGGGTTTCTCCTGGCTCTGCACTCTTGGCAGTGCTCAGGGGACCATATGGGATGCTGAGAATCGAACCTGGGTCGGCCGCATGCAAGGCAAATGCCCTACCCGCTGTGCTATCTCTCCAGCCCCAGACTGATTTTTTTAAACAGTTTTTTTTTTTTTTTTTGCATTTGGTCATACTCAGTGATGCTCAGGAGTTACTCCCGGCGGTGACCATATGAGAGGTCAGAGATCGAACCTGGGTCAGCAACATGCATGGCAAATAATTAGGCCTATCTGCTGTAGTATCACTCCGGCCCTTAAATAGATATTTAACTAAACTGTTTTATGAAAGGACTGAGATGGAAATGGAGGGGATAATAGGGATATTGGTGGTGGAAAGCTTGCACGAGTGGAGTGATGGGTGATCCATCATTGTATAGCTGAATATCAAACATGAAACTATGTAACTGTCTCACTGTGGCTCATGCTTCTGGACTGTGAATTAAGCTATGGCCCTGTGCCACCCCAGGGGGGGGAAGGACGTTCTTCTTTCCGCCTTCTGTCCCTCTGTGGCATGGTGATCGCCATCTTTCAGAGCCTGTTGGACTGAGAGAAATGAGTTTGCAGTGACAAAACACATAGGGCCTCACAGGGTGGAGGCTGGAACCGGCCCTTCTCCCTGCCCCAATGAGACCCCCTGTTGCCGCCCACGAATGGCTCCTCCAGCTCCTGAATGGCCACAATCCCCGAGGCACACAAACCAATCTCGAAACCCAGTGGCTTCTGGCAGAAATCCCTTTGGATTTTATTACTAAAATATCAGAAATCCAAAAATGCGTGGCTGCACGACATCATATGCTCTTCATTATCAGCAATAGAAAACAAATTATCTAATGATGCCTTCTTGGCAGGTTTGAATGTTGGAAAATTCCAAATAATAATGGTAGGTCTTCTGTCAAAAAATTGAATGTAATCAAAGTAAAGTGGAAATCATCTGCCACACTGGCGGGAGGGTGGGGTGGGGTGGGGGATATACTGGGGTTCTTGGTGATGGAAAAATGTGCACTGGTGCAGGAATGGGTTCATTGTATGACTGAAACTTAAACCTGAAAGCCTTATAACTATTCTCACGGTGATTCAATTAAAAAAAAATAAATTGTTTTATGAATTTCACACTACCAACACCTAGATGTAGGACTGAAATCTCAGTGGGTACTGAGATTATTCCACTAGAGGTCATTATTTCACTTTTATTTGAAAAACTGAAGAAAAACTGAACTGATTGCTATTATGTTGAAAGCACTGTATGATTATTGAAAACATGAGGTTAATATGTATTAAGTCTCTGGTCCTCAAATATCTAGGATCCCAATACTGTTGCATTGTACACACCTGATGTTTTAAGGTTTATATGTGATTTAATTTTTAAGCAGTTAAAAATTTTTCATGGTTATGACGTTTGATAATCTTTATTTAAATTCAGGGGCCATACTTAGTGGTCTCAGGGCTTATTCCTGGTTCTCCACTCAGGGCTCACTCCCCTGCAAGGCAAGGGCCCTACTCACTATATGTATCTCCAGCCCTAGAAAAGGTTTCTTTAATAACATGATAAAATGATTAAAATCCATCTTGAAGACGCTTTCCTAGAGACTTAAAATAGCAACAGAAAAATCTTACATTGGTTTCATTATTAAATGTGAAAAAACATTTTGATTTTTGGGGTCATACCTGGCAGTTCTTGGTGACTATCTCCTGTGCTTAAGGGTTGTTCTGGGGACCATGCTATGCTGGGTATTGAACCAATGTCAATAGTGTAGTCCTGTATTATCTACTGTGGGTAAAGCTCTTACCTTGTACATGGCTGACCCAGGTTTGGTCCTCAGAATGCTACATGGTCCCCTGAGCTTGGCATAGCCAGATATGACCCCAAAACAAAAAGCATGTACTATCTAGTCCTAAATGTGAAGATTCTTTTTTTTTGGTTTCGTTTTGTTTTCAGTTTTTGGGTCATACCTGGCGATGCTCAGGGGTTAAGTCCTGGCTCTGCACTAAGGAATTAGTACCGGAGGTACTGGGGTACCATATGGGATGCCAGGGATTGAACCCAGATTGGCCGCATGCAAGGCAAACACCCTACCTACTGTCCTATCACTCCAGCCCCTAAATGTGAAAATTCTTAGGAATTTACAAAAATGCTTTGTCTTTTTTCATGGTGAAGCAAATTTTTCTTTTCTTTTTTTTTAAATGAATCACTCTGAGGTACAGTTACACTCTTACAAACTTTTGTGCTTACATTTCAGTCATACAATGATCGAGTACCCATCCCTCCACCAATACCCATTCTTGGCCACAAATGTTCCCAGTATCCCTCCAATCACTCCCCCCAATTCATCATCCCCACCCCCCTGCCTCTGTGGCAGGCACATTCCCTTTTTTTTTTTTAATTTTATGAATACACCGTGAGATAGTTACAAGCTTTCATGTTTGGGTTACAATCACACAATGTTCTAGGGCACTTGGGTTGTTTCCAGATTTTGGCTATTGTGAACTGTGCTGCAATGAACATATAGGTACAGATGTCATTTCTACTGTGCTTTTTTGCATCCTCGGGATATATTCCCAGAAGTGGTATTGCAGGGTCATATGGAAGCTCAATTTCTAGTTTTTGAAGGACTGTCCATAATGTTTTCCAGAAGGGCTGGACTAGTGGACATTCCCACCAACAGTGAAATTCGAGTGTCCCTTTTTTCCCACA